TCCACTGTATCATCAGGTGTGTATGGCAGTGTCCACTGTATCATCAGATGTGTATGGCAGTGTTCACTGTATCATCAGGTGTGTATGGCAGTGTTCACCGTATCATCAGGTGTGTATGGCAGAGTTCACCGTGTCATCAGGTGTGCATGGCAGAGTTCACCGTATCATCAGGTGTGTATGGCAGAGTTCACCGTATCATCAGGTGTGTATGGCAGAGTTCACTGTATCATCAGGTGTGTATGGCAGTGTTCACTGTATCATCAGGTGTGTACGGCGGTGTTCACCGTATCATCAGGTGTGTATGGCAGAGTTCACCGTATCATCAGGTGTGTATGGCAGTGTTCACTGTATCATCAGGTGTGTATGGCAGTGTCCACTGTATCATCAGGTGTGTATGGCAGAGTTCACTGTATCATCAGGTGTGTATGGCAGTGTTCACCGTATCATCAGGTGTGTATGGCAGTGTCCACTGTATCATCAGGTGTGTACGGTAGTGTTCACCGTGTCATCAGGTGTGTACGGCAGAGCTCAGGTGCCGTACATTCAGATGTGTGTGGCATAGCAGGTGCTGTATATTCAAGTGTGTGTGGCATAGCAGGTGCTGTATATTCAGGTGTGTGTGGCATAGCAGGTGCTGTATATTCAGGTGTGTGTGGCATAGCAGGTGCTGTATATTCAGGTGTGTGTGGTATAGCAGGTGCTGTATATTCAAGTGTGTGTGGCAGATCTCGGGTGCTGTGTCACTAGGCTTCACTACAGCCTTCGTTCTAATACTGGACAGTATCTGTCATCACAGCAGACAGTTCCAGTGAACACTGCCGAGAACACTCCGCTTGCACACAACTGCAGGTGAGGAACGCAGTGAACTGTGATGTAAGACAAATTTGTCTGCTTGTATACAAACATGATTGCTTAATTATCAAAACAGCAAACAATTGTAACTTTCCTCAGCAGACAAATACTGAAATAATATCTCTTTGAAGTATCTTGTGTGATTTTAAAATCTGCTATCTAAGTTGCTGACTTGCGTTTCAAAAGAATCATTAAATAAATTTTGGCTTGGGATTATATAGCTCTGAATATACGTCTGCCTTTTGTACCATATATTTAGGCAAAGGGATTCTTAAAATGTACAATTATAAAATCAAAATGTCCATAAACACCGAGGAAGCTCTATACCGCTAAGTATCAATAGTCAACTTTAAATTATTTATGTATAAAAACAAGCACATCCACCTCATTCTTGTGTAAATTATTAGCTTTGCCTTTAATAAATGGATACCCAAGGATTTTTAAAAATTTTAATGTGTATGGGCATTTTGCCTGCTTGAGTGTACCACATGCATGCAGTGCCTATGGAGGCCAGAAGGGGGAGTTAGATCCCTTAGAACTGGAATTACAGGCAGTTGTAAGCTGCCATGGGGTGCTGGGACTCATGCTCAAGTCTTCTCAATCAGTTCTCTTACCCATTGCATCAGCTCTACACACACCCCCAGGGTTGTTCTTAAACAAATGTCTGTGATTTGTTATTAGTAAACACCCCTTTCATAGACCTACATTTCCATGGTCACATCTGGGAAAAAAATGTAAGCATCCCGATTTAAACAAAGCAAAATAAGAACACACTTTTCTATATCCCTGCACTTCATGTTGATGTTCTGAAAATAATAGACCTCCTTTAGGACCCTCATTCGTTCTTGGGAGCTTAGGGAACCAGAGCTGTGATTCTGGAGACGCTTGCTTCTCTGTTTCCCTGGATCCCAGACCTTTGGAGTCACCGTTTTACTCAACAGGGCAATAAGAACAGGTCAGGTGATTACCCCCTAAGAGATGTTCAGAGGAGTTCCCTGGTCAGCAGAGAAAGCCCAGGTTTTCTAGAAGGTGTAAAGCTTTTTTGCATTCAATCAAAGACACTGTCTCCTCTGCTTCTCTCCTTCCAAGGACCACTTAACAGAGGCAAAACCAACCCTGAGACCCCAGGCAAAGGCGAGGGTCTGCAGCCAGTGTCCCCTGAGAGCCTTCATGCCATGTCCTCATTGGAACTGTCAACACCAGGTCTCCAGCGTTTACCTCCTCCCTCCTTGAGTTCCTGGGTATCTGCCCTTTAATTCCTCATTCCTCCTGCCCCACTGGAGAAACTTACTTAGCCCTACATCACCCTCTTCCTGGTCCTGTGGCCCTGGGCGACAGCAGAGACCTCGGAGGAGCAGGCATATGTGGTTCAGCAGGATCAAGGGTGGGGGCAGCCAGGGCTTCTGGTGGTAGGTCATGATGTAGCGATAGCGATTGTATTTCCAGACTTTGTTCGAGATGGATTTTATATCGAAGTAAATGTTGCTGAAGGTTGTAGAAAAGGAGAGAGACAACGTTTTACTATGGGACCCTGAAATGTGACAGACTCTATCTCCAAACTCTTCTGATTGGTTAGCAATCAGCGGCAGATAGCCAATAACTATGATCCACTTATTAATTTTCTTCCATCAAATAAAATAGAATAAGCACTTTTTATAACAAAGAACATTAACAAATGTTAATGAACAATGTTAATGCTCATTGTTAAGGAACAAAGCGCAAAACACAAACATTGGAATCAGAGATTAGAAAAATGACAGCATTTTAGGTGGGGAACAAAAACTGCCCCGTCTCACTCAGCCCTGTCTGGGGCACTTTTGCTCCTCTGATGCTCTTTTCCAAAACATAGCTCATCCTTCATTGCAAACAAGTGTGATGTTCCTCTGCATTACTGCCTTTATTAAAAATATCTCTCACCTGCCAGAAGCAAGACATGCAAGACTTATTCTAACTGAAACATTGCAAGAGAATCATATGGATAAAGAAGACATAGAAGAGAAGGATCGATTTCTCCTTAAATAAGCTCCCCGGAGCTTCCAAAGGGAACTTGATAAATTATTCACGTTAGCTTCACAGTGAAGGAAGTCTCTACTGGTGGGAACTTTGGATTTTCTCTTAAATTATGTCAGTTTTAAAAGAAGTCAATAAACACAGACACTAAATAACTCCAAATGGAAATTCTAGCAGGTAACAGATCTTCAAAACAACTTATCACCCCAAACTGTTTAGTATTTAACACAATATAGGTAGTGGGTCCAATGGAATAACCACTGTAACATTATACTTTAAAAAAAAAACAGATTTTTAAAAACAAGTTTCTTCGGAGGAAAATAAGTGGTGGAGTAGAATATGAGCCAAACTTAGCAATGAAAACATTGGTAACCAAAAACTGACCAAGAACTGGGAGAAGAAGCCATGACTATCCATCCTCGAGAGAACCAGGTCAGGATAAGACGGAGAGGGGGCAAGCACATTCTTGGCCTCTGCCTCAACACCATTAACCTGCAGTTCTGCCACCCTCAAGGCTAGTCCCAATTAGGTCTTCAATTCACAGGTGACTTCAGCCTGTCCACCAGCAGGTGGTGTCATTCACAAAGTATTTCAGGGTCTTTAACGGTAAGAACTCCATCTTAAAGTGTTCTCCCAGATAAGTAAGTCATCAGATCTGGGATCGCCACACTTGCTTGCTCCTCAGAGTGTTGTTGTTTGTATGGAGAGTCGGGGAAAAGAAAGGGAATAAAGGGAGGAGAGGGGGAAGAATGCAGAGGAAGGAAAAAAAGGATGAGAGGAGCAGCAGGGAGGGAAACAGCTGTGGGTTGGACTTCCCAGGGAAGCTCCTCTTCTTCCCTATAGATTTTGAGAAGACTGGAAATGGAATCAGTCTATGTTGGGAAAAGAGGGGGTTCAAGAGGTTGCCACCGGGAGAAACAGTGGGTTGATGAGCCTGGAGTGTCAGCAAAGCTGGACATGGAAATGGGATTTCCCAAATATACAGGAAACTAAACACAGACATGAAAAGGCACAATACGAAAAGGAAAAGGTCCAATGTCTAGGCCCATGACTTTTTAGTGTGAAATGGGAGACTAAGAAGAGGCAGCTAAGTTTGAGAGAGAAGAAAGGAAGCCAAACAGACAGGGGCCATGTGGGGAGAGCACACAAAGAACCCTGGGTGAGCCATCAGCTCCAACCCTCATTCTACAAGACTCTACCTACACAGTGATGGCTCGGCGTTCCTCTCCCGCACATCAGATATGACTTCCATTATTCTATGGTCTAAAAGTTCAACTTTTTTTCTACCAATAATTTCAAGCCCTTGCTTTAAAGCCACAGAAATATAGCATGTGACACACATAAAAAGATCACATATTCAACATCTATCAGAATATATTCAATATAGCTGCTTGCATATTTTGGTAAACAAAATGACCACAGTTAATGAAGTTACCTACTTGAAGCAGGCAATCAGCAGGTTCACCATGATGATGTATTGGACAAAGAGGTAGACAGCTTGCAGAAATGGAGTCAGGAAAGAACCCGGAGGGCAAGAAGGGTCACTTGAACAAACTAAAAACAAAGAATTCAAGAATGGGATAAGACAAATCACAGCCCTGGGGCCCTCTGAAAATATTTGGTCCCTCAACTCCACAGAATGCCACACACTTTACACATTGAAAAGATTCTCGTGGATACTTTCCAGATTCATTTTTCTCTCAGTATCTACAGGGGTTCTGATTCTGCATGAGGGCAAACCCCAAATGTACCATCTATATCTGAAGCATAGACTTCTCCATACATCATCCAGTATGGCTCGAAAACAATATCTCGAGCCAGGCGCCATGAAGGAGGCTCATTTGGTGAGAGGATGGCTTTGCGCGCCACGCCAAAGCTCAGCAGGACAATGGCCATCATGATCACAATGTAGAACATGTTTGCTGCCTGCAAAACAGCACAGCACAACCAGAATTTACCACACATCAAAGCCCTCAAGGTTCTCATTGCACACCTAGAGATTGTTACGCAGTCTAGCCAGTGGCTAAAACCCTCTATCCAAAAATAACTGGCTAAGTTATTTTCTTTTCCCTACACAGTATGTGTTTTAGGTTAGTGACATCTGTGGAGACACATGATGTGCAGAAATTACAAATAAAGACTTTGTAGAAGCAGCCATCAAATGTCAACTGTTTCTGGCTGGCTAGCACCCAACTTTTGACCAACTAAATCAAAAACTTAGTTAGAAAATATTTTAAAAGGATAAGACATATTCAAATTATTCTAATAACTGTTCCCAGAATTACCTCCCAGAGCCCCTAGAGCCATGTAATGATCACCCCAGTTTCCCTCCATCTTGTGAAATACATCAACTCAACCCACGTGTTCAGTGTGGCAGACCCGGAAGTCACCAACATTTTCACGTTCTCCACATTTCTTATCTTACTCAGTAGCAACTATAAGATCCAAGTAGCCAAGAGGCTGGAGAGTGACCCCAGTGGCTTTGCCCGAGTTTTTACACGGTGCTGAACTGTTGCTGACAAAGGAGACCCTGGAAGGGGTGAGCTGGCATGGCTATGCCACACAAAGATGAAATTCTGTGTCCTGGAGTCAGCACTTGGAAAGCCCATCACAGCCTGCTTCGGGGAGAAGAGACCTTGTGCCACATCACTGAGATGGACTTGTTATCTCACATAGCTTCGCTAACAAATGTGACCTTAGCAAAACCAGAGGATGTGCTTGCTTATGGTCGAAGAGAAAAGTAGTGAAGAAGAAACTCTAAAGGCTGAGCTGGGTCTCGGCAGTACAGTGTCTGCCTCTCATGCATGAGGACCTAGGTTCAATCCCCAGTCTGACCAAAAGGAGAAATATGAGGACAAGAAGAAGAGGAAACTAAGAAGGGGAGAGAGATGGAAGCAGAAGCAATAAGGTCCATCTGGAGACTCTTCAGGGCCTTCTCCCTCTGTCTTCCTTTATTTCTGTGTTCCCCTGACCCTCCAGAATAATACCTTTCCTTGTATTCTAGAAGCAAATGCAATATAATCTTGATACTGTATGCCTAGGCGGTAGATCTTTGGGTACTTTCAAATTGCCGGATGGCAAAACCTGGCACATTGTTCAGCAAGCTCAGTGCATAGCCAAGCCACCCACTTTGGGAGCTTGGATCCCCCACATGTGCTCATGAGGGATTTACTTAATGTCCATTTCCTTGCATAAAAAAATAGACAATACTACTTATTTCATTAAGTTGCTACAAACATTGTGAGTTAATATATACAGAATATCTGGCACCATGTGTGGTACATAGTGGTACTACTTAGGAGTAAGAGAGTGTCAAAAGAATGAATCAACACCTTCAGAGAAACAGTCGTGGTGGTGGCCTTGCACAAATCAAAGACTAATGTGACTCAATCTCATATTGACAATCCTCACAAAAGGCTAAACTAAGTGTTCCTATTAACTACCCAAGGTGCTCTCCAGGCCCATTTTATATACAAGTTTATGGTTAGCCAGATATGAGTCAGTATGCCTCTTGGAACAATTCAAACATTTAATTAGTGAGCTAGGGAGATGGCTCAGTGTTAAAATGCCTGCTGGACCTGAGAGGGGATTCCAAGAAAGCATATAACAACCAGGTATAGTATGGATCCTGGGAATTCTCTAGCCAGCCAGTCTGAACAAAACAGTGAGCTTCAAGTTCTTTAAGTAGTGTCTGTTTCCAAAGCTAAGATGAGATCTATGGTGGTTTGAATGAGAATATCTCCTATAGGCTCATAGATCTGAATGTTTGGTCCCCAGTTGATGGAACTGTTTGGGAAGGATTAGGAGGTGTGGCCTTGATGGAAGAGGTGTGCCACTGGGGGTGGGCTTTGGAGTTTCAAAGTCCATATCATAGTTAACTTTCTGTCTATTGTGTGCTCGTGGATCAGATGTGAGCTCTCTGCTACTGTTTCAGTGGCATGCCTGCCTGTCTGCTGCCATGCTCCCCAGGGACACTAATCCTCTGGAAGTATAAGGCCCCAAATCAAACTCTTCATTTTCTAAGTTGCCCTGGTCATGCTGTCACCTCACAGCAGCAGAAAGACAACTAGGACAAGGGAAATAATGGAAGGCACTCGACACTGATGTCCACCCTCTACACACGCAAACAAGGGTGAGGACACCCACAAACATATGTGTGTACGCATGCATACATCACAAGAGAGAGAGTTAAAGTGTGAGATACGAAGCACAACAGTGGCGCCGCTGAAAAGGGACATTTGTGTATAAAATATGAGGTACATACCATTTTTGCAATCATGGTCACATATGGACCTGCATGTTGATTGACAGCGAAGAAGTCCATGAGCCGAGAGAACCAGAATATGATGTCTAGGCAGTAGATGAGTCTTCCTACAGTGTGCAAAGGGGAGCTTCCCCACCGTAGGCCAAAACCCACTAAAAACAGGACAATGGCCACAGCTTCTATTAGGTTCCAGTATTCGCTCAACCACATCTTCACCTTTTGAGTAAACTTGCTTGGTTCTGAAATGCATATCTAAAGGGAGAAAGAGGAAAATGTAAAGAAGGGTACAGGACTGGGGGTGGAGGAGAGTGGTACAGCACTCGTCTCCGACACAAAAGACCCTGGGTTCAAGCCCCCAAACCATAGCTGAAGGGGAATACCATCAATACCATCTTTTTAAAATTCATTAACCCATCATTTAAAGAGTAAAACAATTCCTACCAAATTTTACACCAACACCAGACCATTTCAGAGCTCAGCACTGCCGTGGCTCTGCCTAGCCATCATTCTGCTTCATGAACTGAGGGCAAAGATTTCTGACTGGAAACCCAGCAGTCATGTGAGCTCCTACAGCTGCTGCTAAATGAGTTCTTGGCAAATCACTAAGAACATGGTGTTGGGACTCACGAGAATAAGAAGCTTCCCATGCACTCCTATAGCAGACACGCTGCAATGTAAACACTAAGCTTGTTTTCCCTAAAACATAAAAATCATGGTAGAATTCAGATAGTGTTTCTTGACTATAAAGATCCTTACTTAGCAGGCAATGCAGGCTAGCTTCTAAGAAGATGCTTACTTAGCATAGAATGTGGGCCAAACTACCACTGGAACAAGACAAACCTATAGACATACAGAGATATGCACACACATCTGGGAGAGTCAAAGTCATAACTACTTGGAATTATATGTAAAATTGCATTAAGAACGCTAACTTTTAAGTGACCAGTGGCAAAGTAGAAATGAAAATGTTTAGTTTCTTCAACTCTCGGTCCTCTTCTCCCAGCAGGATATCCAGCTTCTGTTTTCAAGGGAGTTGACTAGAAACTTCCTTCCAATGTGAGTGGATTCCTTACATATTATACAACTGTAGCCATTCATGTGCCACTCACTCTATTGGGTAAAACTGACAATATGAGGTAAGGCTAGGTGATTAAAAATCCACGTCACAAAGAAAGCTGCACCGTGGGAAGCAGGCAGCTGGAGAGCTCAATAACAAACAAAGCATGCCTATTGCTTCTTGAGTAACAAGCACAAGAAGACTGTGCTTCAAAACAGCTGTTTTCAAAGTTCAACAGAAAGTATTTGGTAAGGTTAAAGGAACAAAACCAGAAACTTTTCCCTGAGCACCCTTCTTATAGGAGAATTGAATTCAGTATGCTCTCTCTCCGTCACACACTTGACAGGAGGTCATTTTCATCCCCAGCGCCTAGAACCCCTCTCCCGTGGGCATGGAGAAGACACAGAAGGCGCACTCACCTCCCTGACCTTCTCGATGGCGTTGGTGAAGATGTAGATGATGACAAACCACTCTTGCACGATGGGTTCGGGCTGCATCTCCACCAACACTGTGTAAGTGAACAGCATGAGGAATGCCAGGTAAGCCATCTGTGAGGGACACACATTCCCCGGAGGTGAGCTCAAGAGACCACAAAGGATGCCACGCAGAGCTCTGCAGACGGAGCCCAGAAGCATCAGACTTCGACACGACAATATGAAACTATAACTGGGACTCACCTCTGATCCTTGATGACTCGATGTCAAGGACAATGGAAGTATCTATGGTCGATGAATGATCATCGCTGTTTGCCAGTAAAGGGAGGGGATGCTACCCTACTAGCACTAACCCCTGCAGTGTGCACACTGGCAAGTTAGTGGCAGACCAGGAAAGAATCTCATGCCTCCCCTTTAGTTTCAGCTGGGAAGATATGTATGCCAAGATTGCCAGATGAGCAGTATCTGTGGATGCCTATCTTCACAGTAAGCTGATATTCACTACCACTAAAGTGTTATTTTATAACGAATAAATGTTATTCTGGCTAGGGAGATGGAGAAACGGCTCAGCAGTTAAGAGCACACACTGCTCTTGCATGAACAACGGGTCCAAGCACAGCTTACAACTGCCTGTGACTCAAGTTCCAGGGTATCTGTAACTGCCTTCTGGATGCTAAGGATAGATGATATAGGTAGGTAGATAGATGATAGATAGATAGATAGATAGATAGATAGATAGACAGACAGACAGACAGACAGACGATAGATAGACGTTTAAAAAAAAGATGGTGAAAAACAATCACGGATTGCTCCTGTTGAGAAAAGAGTGTTACTCATTCAGAACTTAAAGTCTACACACACACACACACACACACACACAGAGAGAGAGAGAGAGAGAGACTTGTTTTGTCTTCTTCCAACCCTGTCACCTGCCTACTTTCCTATCCCCCATTTCTTTTGCTTGTTTTTCAATGAAATTCTTACATTTTTATCTCAGGTTAACAAATGAGACATACCATTAGTAACATTATCGTAAACCACTAATTATTATTAACATTACTGTAATGAGACGAACCGTGTGAAACCAAAACTTCACAAAGGGAGCGCTGTAGAACTCGTAGACTCTCCTTGTCCAGGGGAGGCTCTGGGGCCCATTTTTGATGTCGAAGTGCACATTTTCATCCAGTTTCTCATCAGGGCCTCTTTCCAAATCATAGTTTTTCTGAAAAGTAAGCAATAATGCTATAGACTAGAGGGTGTAACATAGTAGTAAAATTCATGTGTTATTTGTGTAAGGTCCTGGGTTCAATTCCCAGATCCTCTGCCACCACTAAGAATAATAAACAGCAATAAATATACCCCCTCTCATCCTCAAGCTTTTGGAGACAAGATCTTACTATAAATCCCTAGCTGTCCTGGAACTCACAGAGATCTCCGTGCCTTTGCGTCTCCCGGGCCAGGATTAAAGGCACGCACCACCGCAGCCTGCCATCATTACTTCTTGCTGAGACAGCTAACCTCAGCTGCCAACTTGACATATCTGAGAAAAGGAACCTTCCAGTGAAGAACTGCCTCATCACATTGGCCTGTGGGAATGTCTGTGGGGCACTTTCTTAACTTCTGATCTACATAATGAGGCTCAGCCCACGGTGGGCAGTGGCATCCCTGAGCAAACCATTAATTCCCAGTCGGGCTTGCTGTCTCTCTTTCTCTCTTGCCCATGCCTCCTGTTTATTTAGTTAAAATCCCTCTTTTCCTTTCCACATCTTTTGTTACTGATCCTGGCTGGCATCCTTGTCCCTTCTGGTCTTGATGGCCATGCTGGTCCATGTTCTCCTTGACTCTAGTCTGTCTTCTTGTCAGGTGATCCTGTGCAGTTAAGGCAGTGACTTTCCTGTGGCAGCTTGTCTCACTACTCTGCTCACTGACCTCCACTGTTTCTCTGCTGAGTGAAACAGAATGATGCTCTCTTAAAAGGCACACAAGAATCTCACGATCCGCCTTCTGCATTTCCAGCCATGCCTACAATTATCCCCTGCTTGTCCAGCTCTCTCCACAGCCACCAGTCCAGCCAAACTGCCCCACTTACCATGCTAACCCTCTGCCTCACACTTCCTGCCACTGTGTCTGAGCTACGGTTTCATGAAGCTGTCACCCATCCCTAATCCTCCCCCACTGGCCCTACTGAAAACAGTCATTCCTCTTCCATCCAGAGTTTTCCATTCCAGTATCTTTATACAGCTTATTTCTGGGCTAGTTGAGGTCACAGAGGTCATGCTTAAAGAGATTAGCAATCAATAAACTTACATTTCTTTAAAGAAAATTATTTTGCCTGTGGAAACTTCCAAAAAGAATTCTGATTTAGCATGGAAGTGTACCCTTGCAGTTCTAGCTACTCATGGATCACTTGAGTCCAGAAACTCAAGGCCATTCTAGAAAATATAGCAAGACAGGTAAAAACACACGAGAGAGAGAGAGAGAGAGAGAGAGAGAGAGAGAGAGAGAGATGATATAGGTGGGCCTTCTGTCTATGTGTTATTTTCATTGGTTAATAAAGAGACTGCGTTGGCCCTTTGATAGGACAGAAAATTAGGTAGGCAGAGTAAACAGAACAGAATGCTGGGAAGAGGGCAATGAGGCAGACACCATGGAGCCAGTCACCAGGTCAGACATGCTGAATCTTTCCCGGTAAGCCACCACCTCATGGTGGTACACAGATTGTTAGAAATGGGTTAATCAAGATGTGAGAGTTAGCCAGTAACTAACTCTCTAGAGATAATGGGCCAGGCAGTGTTTAAAAGAATACAGTTTCCATGTAATTATTTCCGGGGCAGAGCTAGCCAGGCGGCCAGGAGCTGAGCGGGACAAAAAGCAGCCCGCCGATACCACTACAGAAAGAGTTGTGGGGGGAAATTTATTAAAACCTCACAGAGCAAATGCAGTATCTGATAATCCATCTTCAGCTCCCCGTGGGAACAAGAAGGCCTTTCCTGTTGTAAACTTACTACCACAAAGACACATTAAACCACATCTGTTTTGATTGCTGCCTCCAGCTTTCTCCCACAATACACAATGAAAACCATGTTCCTTAATCAATTACTTTTACATATTATTCATTATGAATTCATATATAGTCTACCAAATCTCCCAGGTAAAACTTAATAAAAATTGTGAGAGAGAGCGAGAGATGTGGGAAGTCCTTTTGTATATATGTTGCTTTTATTGGCTAATGAATAACGAAGCTGCTTGGAACTATGACAGGGCAGAATAGAGCTAGGCAGGAAAACTAAACTGAATGCTGGGAGAAAGAAGGCAGAGTGAGTGAGACGCCATGTAGCCCCTGGAGGAGGAAGATGTGAGCCACCCACAGGGACTCTTACTGGTAAACCATGAGCCTCATGGTAAAATATAAAATAATAGAAATGGGTTAATTTAAGATGTAAAAGTTAGCTAGGAATATGCTAGAGTCATTGGCCAAGCAGTGTTGAAGTATAGATTCTGTGTGATTATTTTAGGTCTAGGCAGCTGGGAAATGAACAAGCAGCCTCCACCAGCAAGCAAAAATTGCTAGACAAGTGTAGTCAATAATTTTTGCTTAAGATGAATATAAAGAGTAACAACAAAATCCACTTTTTATGATCACAAGCCAGTCATAATATAATGCTCTTCAACAGCTCTTTCACTGAGAGTCTCAAATTGAAGAATGCTAATGTTTCATGGATATTTTTCTGATAATAAGCTCATCATGGTGGAGACCACATCTGCTTTAACTTAAATATTCACTGAATTAATTAATTGATATGGCCACATCTAAACTACCTACGGGGACAACTGCTATCGCAGGACACTAGTCAGGGGGTCTCAAGAACTTACTATATATATTTAATTTCAAGAGCACATATTTATCTGCAATTCTGTGAAGGAACTATGCTCCCTTTGATAACAGTTCTGATATAAATACACCAGTTTTCCAAAACCCTTCAAGTGTGATGATTCCATCATTCTATCAAATCCATGAGAACCAAAAGTGGGATTTCCATACCACTGACAAACTATCGCCTATGTCCTGTGACAGTTGTGTGTACATTCTAAGTAGGTAGGGCTTATACAACTTTCTTCCTTGTTCAGCTTCAACTAGCAAACTAAATTTGGAGTGCACAATCAAACAGGCATACACCCAAGTAGAGCACCTCTGCGCCAGACCCATGTGACATCTCCACGGGTGGGGCCATCATTGAACTTCTTCCCTTTGCTAGGTTTGAACCTGAGACCAACACAAATGTAACCATGTGTCTAGCCCAGGATTTTAAGAGATTCTTTGTGTGTTCTACAGACAGTAGAAGGTACTTGGCTTCCTGGATTCCAAGGGTTCAAGATGGAACTAGGCAGAAGGAAGGGAAGGAGTGAGGGGATATACACACACCTAAAAAAGAGCAATAACTGAAGTATTTAATGACAGGGAAGAGGCATATCTCCAGGGTATCAGAATGCAGATGCTCAGCCAGGCACCGTTAGCCAAAATACACTCATCAGAGTTAACCTTCATATTTAGCACTTGGAGAATAAATAATATTTAAATAAATACATCATACATGCCACAGCATATCAGACAAGGTATTAAAGGCACTTTAGTCAGTGTAAGTGCCAGAGAAGATGTTCTCCGCACCTTTCAACAAAGGGCAGCTTTATGAATCATGGTCAAAGTGGAAGCAGAGAGAGCATTCCTAGCATCCTGGACCCCTGCCTGTGACAGTCAGCTGCTGGGAAAGGGACTGTCAGGCCAGGGAAGAGCACACACCCAGAACCCAAAAAAAAAAAACTACTCACAGCCACTGGGTGAGAAGGATAAGACGTGGGAGGATCAACAAAAATCTTGTCCCATTTGTTTGGGAGGTACACACATGTCACAGCGTGTGTGTGGAGGTCAGAGGACAGCCTCTTGGAGTCAGTCCTTGCCTTCTTCTGTGTGAGGTCAGGCGTTGAACTCAGGATGCCAGGCTTGGCAGCAAGTACCCTCACCCACTAAGTCATCTCTCAGGCCCATCAACACAAATTCTAAATGTGTCTTTACAGATGAGAACCATAGGGGTGTGTGGCGGTGTTGATGGAGGCCTAAAGTGGTAAGCTTATCCGTTCTGCCCCTCTCAGAGCAATGCTGAGACAGCTGTTGGACACAAAGACTTTGTCTTTGAAGCAGAAATGGGATACTTTGCTTACATGCTCTACCTAACTCGTATATAACGAGATGGGGATTACATGGGGAGAATTAAATGCTTGATTGATGAATCAGTCCTGGGCTTTTAGAGTAATGTGTAGCCTCAGGGTAATATGTAACTTCACTGGACTGAAACATTGGCCAGAAACTCAAAGCCATTCTGGGAAATGTAGTTACACACAGAGAGGTGTGTACTGGGGGTGGGGTTAATAAATACCCTGTTAACAGTAAAAGGGCAAACGTTTGGTTTAACAGATGCCTATTACAGATAAGCTCCATGCTTGTGCATCTCTGTGCACAGTTACACCCTGGAAAGCCAATTTACTACGGAAGTGTACTCACCGCACAAGCACTTTCTTTGGTGTTACTGAGATCCTGGTCGCTGTTATTCCACGTAAACTGGAAATCCTGGGATTGTGGGACATGTGACATCTCAGCTTTGCTTTTAAATTCCAATGTCAAAATCATGGGTGGTAACAGGATACTGATGATTATCTGCAGAGGAAACAAGACAAAGGATAAGCAGAGGACAGAGGACACATGCACTGTCTGAGCAACAGATGTAAGAATGCGTGTGTATAGATACCCCATCCACTCCCAGCTCAGTTTCTATCCCGAGTCTACATATAGTTTAGCTCATCCATTTCAGTTCTACAGATGTGTCCCTCAGCTCTGTGCAAAGGTGGGCAGAGAGGTGTTTGTGCACAGCTGATTGCAAAGGCAAAAAAAAAAAAATAAGACTCACCAAGTAACAAGGTCCAGCTGTACAGGGACAGATAATATAGAAAAACCTAATGGTGGAATGCAGTGTTAACAATAAAGAGGAAACTGTAAGGGCTGGAAAGATGTCTCAGTGGTCCAAAGCACTGGTTGCTCTCACACAGGACCTCAGTTCAGTTCCCAGCACTTACATGTCAGTTCATAACAGTTGATAACAGAACTCCAGTTTATTAATTTTGTGGCACTGGAGACCAAACCCAGGGCCTGTGGATGCTGTTTAAGCATTCTATAAGTGAGTTATGCACCCCCAACCCCTGTGGAATTCTCAGACACTGTCATTTGGTACAGTGAAGGGTCGCTTTTGTTTGCTTGGGACTCTGATCGCCTTCACACAAGAATGGCTCTGTGGTGGCAGGGCAGGACAATCATCAAGTTTTGAAAAGTCACTGCGGGAAAGTAGTTTAGAGATTCCTGAGGGATGGGCTGATCCGTGCACCTGCAGGGAGGTGTTGTTTGACAGAGGACCCACGTGGAACTCAGGAGCACTGACCATCTCACTACACTGAGGATCTGTGCACCTGCAGGGAGGTGCTGTTTGACAGAGGACCCACGTGGAACTCAGGGGCACTGACCCTCTCACTACACTGAGGATATGACGTACAGAAAAAGAATGTACCTTCAGCCAGGAATTTTTCCTCATTTTCAGACGTCCCATCCACATGTCTGTCAGCAGCATTTGGGTACAAGAATGTGACACAAAGGGACGCAGTCCTCCAGACACTGCCAGTTTCAAGCAGGTGAAATTGCTCCAGTTCTTGAGTTCATAGGTCAACAGTTTCATGGCCATTGGCTCGTTCTGCTTGAAAGCCTTCTCTAACACATCCAGGGCAAGCTGGCCGAACTGCCTGAAGACACAGTGGTGAACAGAGAACACAAAAGGCCGGTCAGAGCCCCAGAAATGTCTTCAAAGATGGGCCACGGCACACAGAACACAACAGATAATTGGGCTGTGAGATCAAAACAAAATTAGGCTATGTTGAAAAAAAAACCAGCCAATTCATCTCAGCTGTCAGAAGCTACCACAGCTGCTCAGAAGCAGATCTGTCTCAGGTATGGAAGGTAGACAATGTGTCCTATTTTCCTGGTAGCCCAAAGTAGAATTTAATGTTTGTGTCGGAAGCCATTCTATGCTGTGTTTGTCCTATATTCATCCTGGGGTGGGTGAATCTACATGATAAAACTTAGGACAGAAATTCTGACAGAAAACACTATGTTCAAGAAACATTGTGGCACCATATTTCTATTACTATTATTTTTTATAAAATCCTTAAGTACTAAGAATCTAGACCCAGAAACCCTCAGGAAATTCCAGGAGGCTTTCTTTTCCAGAAATTCTCTAGGTCTGTCAATCAAGCTAGAGGTTAACTTCCGTCATTCTCTGAGCTTCCCTCCACCCAAGGACTATAATGCTTCAGTACTCCGATTAATGGGAGCATCTCTCCTCTTTCTCTTTCCCACCAGCTGCCTTCTGATTCTTTCTACAATGTGTGTATTCACTTCCTCAGCCTGAAGAACTCCTAAGGTCAGCAGCCATGTTAACAACATCAAAGACTTTGGAGCTCCAAAGGGCTTTCTACATCATTTGTTTCAAAACTCATTAACTCTCCTTAAGGAACTAAAGGCTAAAATCGAGTTGGCTAACCTACACAATGCAAAAAGAGTTGCCCCTGGGACTCAGTGTGCCTCCCTGGAAGGTCACCTCTCTCCTACATTCCACAGAGTTCCTTCAAATCCTCAGGAACCCTTTACTACAAGAGAGCAAGAAATGTGGAGTGTGATAGTCAGCGTTGGCTGCTGGGTGAGTAGGATCAAGGGATACCTAGAAATCAGTATTACATTGTGTCTGCAATTGTGTTTCCAGGGCTTAGCATGGGAGTCTGAGTGGGCTACGTGAAGAAGATCCCTTTTCTAGCTGGAGGGCCACCACCCGATCCTCCAGGAAGCCACAAAGGATAAGTACAGAAAGAGAATTGACCTCTGCCCCTGAGAGGTGAGACACCTGTTGTGTGCCCCAGACATCAGCAGCCCAGGTTCTGCAGTCCAAAGATTCCACAGTTATACCAGCAACAGCCCCCCCCCCAGGTCAAAGGCCTGCCATAGATCCCCTGGTTCTGGGGCCTCTGGACACGGACTTAGCCATGTTTCTAGCATCCATGGTCTCCAGGGTCCACACAGTCTTGTCAGCTACCAGAATCACTTACCACTTAAGTCAATTCTCTTACTAGTCCCTCCCATTTAACTATCTATACACCGTACTGGTTCTGTTGCTTGACTAAAATATACGATTCTAAGGAAATCCCTTTATCCTACGGCAAAGCGAGGGAGAAAGGAGTGTCTACACTTGGATAAAGCATTGCTGCTTGGTGTGAAGTGAAGAGAGAAGACCTACTCTGAGTAATTTTCCAGTTCCTCTGAGGTATCATCCACCATGTTGCTCTCCTTAGCTTCCCGGGCCATGGCTCTATAGAGAATACTAGCAATGACTGCCTTGACTGTGGCCTCCTCTCCGTGCTGCCAGAAGAACATGGCCATCTTCTGCCTCTTCATGAGCACAGCCCACACCAGCAGCTCGCTGTATGGGTAGACAAAGCCAGCTGGCTCGGGGTCCTCCGACGGGCTGTGTATGTCCTTTGACTTCTTCTTTGATTTATGAGAGTCTCCAGGCTTGTCCTATAGCAAAGGAGAACAAAGTCCTGAATATTCCAGTGCATAATACTTTGCTAAATATAACACAGCAAGTATCCTAGGGATACTTTTTAAAATTGTTTTTATCGAGGTACACATTTTTCTCCATTCCCCTCCCTTCCTCCCAGGGATATACTTTTTTTTAAGATAATTACTACCTATGCTAGATCCTGGCACTGAAGAAAAAAACCCAAGCAAACAAAAAGCCCAGATATCCACCGCAGTGGAACTGTGAGTACAAATTCTCCAGTAAAACTGACGGTGTGCCCACTGTAGAAGGCATACAAAAGCAATCAGCTGGGGATGTAACTCTGTGGTAGAGTGGCCAACTGATATGTACAAAACCCTGAGTTCAATTCTCAGAACTATTAAAAAAAAAGCATGCTTTATTGAACTACAACACAGGACTTAGAAGGCCATGAGGACTAAGCTAAAAAACAATCCTGACTCCGTGGTGAGTCCTTGTCTCAAGAGCATGTGGAATATCACTAAGATAAACAAGCAAGCACAATTTGCACTTTCATTTATTTGGGTAAGACTTTTATTTTAAATATTCTCTACTTTTACCTTAATGACTTGATTTGTCACTGTTCCTTTGAAGAGCGTCACTAGTGTTGCCTGCATACTTTCAAAAGGGTCACTTTGCTTTATTTTATTCTGGTAACAATGAGCATTATCCCCCTGGCAAACTGACCCAATGTTCAACTAACTTGCCACTCAAACTCCCTGTGTACCTTTGTACGGCTTCCTGTCTCTGATCCAGTGTCCAGTATAATAGATTGCACCTTAAGAAAAGTGGAACCATTTCTCCGTCACCATTTTATCTGCCTCTACCTGCTCACCTCCCCAGTCCAACCAAGTACTCATCATAATGCTTGGGGACTAATAAAGGTTTTAAAATAAGCACTTGTAATTTGAAGCATCGTAGCAAACACTACGATGTATATGATTAGTATATGATTTCCATGGAAATACTTAGGCAAAACCTTTCTGTCCCAGAGAAGGGCAGGCTAAAGACACACATTCATGACCTTTATTATATTGCAAAATTAGGATCAAACTAACTTCAAGAAAGACTTAGTTAGGAAAAAGAAGATACAAAACGACCATCTCCCCAAAACTGAGAGTTACAAAGGGGATGGTCCTCATATCCAACCAGGCTTGAGCAAGAAAGTTAAGTGCATAGTGTGAGGCTAATAACTATGAATGTCTAATACCATGCCACACACAGCCTTCCTGTGTCACCAACTGTACAAGGGGCAAGTCCAGACAATCACTGGGTTGTCAGCATTCTGTGTTGTTGAAGGACAGCTGTGGCCGCGGTGATGCTTGTGAATTACACCGTCTGTTTACATGATAGGGCGATGATTCTTCATTAACCCCTCCCTTTCTCCAGTGTCAAAGGAAAGGGCCATGTCAGTCTGCAAAACCAGCTTTATATTCAACTCTACAAACAAAACAGTGTACCTTGGATTTGTAGGGCTGGGCAGTCCTAAAGAACTGGGAATGCGGGGTGCTTTCTGAAGAGTCACTTCTGCTTCCCAAGGAATGTCTCTGGTGAAGAGGATGCTGGGAAAGGCTCTGAGACAAGCTGCTCACACTCTGCTATTTTGTTTTTTTAAAGAAAACAAACGGGGAGAGATCAAAAAAAGATTATAGTAGTGAAAACATCATCTTTCCAGACAACGAGGAAAGCTAAATACGTGTCCTCTCAAACAACCAACACCTCTGTCTCTGGTTCAGGATTAGTAACTAATGTGTCTGGAGATTCCCCACTCACTAGCCTCCCCACGTCCGTCTGCGGAGCTCTATTTCCTGACCTTTTAGAGAGCATGCTCCTTTGTCTCCTATTCTACCTCTGAGTTTCTTTCCTATGAGGAAATTCCTTTGAAATCAATTAGCCGCAGAACAAGCTCAAAACAGGCAATAAAACTTTACAGTTTTGGTAAGAGAAAGTTTCCATTCACAAAGAGCTCTAAGGCGAAGGTGAAGTTAGAAAGTTCCGGAAGGTTTCCATGTGGCATGTGATATCTCCACGGCATGGGCACCAAATGAAGTGTCAGCTAGGAGGAGCAGAAGTCTGCAGAGACTGCCGTGAGAGCCTAGGCTACAAACCTCAGGATTCTGAAAGCTCTACTCTCCTTCAGCATGTGTGCTTTGGGTAAAAAATCAACACAGGAAGAATGACATCAAGACTTTCCAGTGTCCATGCTCACATTAGTCTCATCATTATTGTAACAGAATTAATTATGTCAACATGGTGACAATCACAGGGGATAACAATTAAGTCACTCAAAGCTTGCTCTGTAATGAGGACATGGAAAAGTTTGGGTATTCTCACAAGTTTGTGACCAGGACACTAATATGCCATTTCATAGATGGGAGAGTGGAAACACAGACAAATCATGGTTTGTTTGGTTTGGTTTTTTGTTTGTTTTTCAAGACAGGGTTTCTCTGTGTAACAGCCCAAGGTGTCCTGGAACTAGCTCTTGTAGACCAAGCTGGCCTCGAACTCACAGAAAACTGCCTGCCTCTGCCTCCCCAGGGCTGGGATTAAAGGCTTGTGCCTCCGTTGCCCAGTTTGACAGATTATGCTTTGTAAACCAAGTAAAAAGACAAATAGGATTTGATGTCAAACCACTCTGACTCCACACTCCATCGGTGTTAGCACTGTGGTCTGACTGTGGTCTGCTCTGAAACACCATCACCTACATTCAGGAAAAGCCACTAGTGAAATGGGAAGTGTCATATGAATGGCCTGCTTCCAGAACGAGCAGGAATGGAGCCTCCTAGGAAAGAGCAAACCAGCTGCACCAAGGCCACACAGCAGTGCTGTCCTCACTGGCACCCAGTAGTGTCGTTCCTTTCAAAGGCAGGAGCTGATCCTGGGTGTCTTTTGTCCTCAGAAACCTCATTAGAGGTTCTTTCCTAGGTGAGATGTGGTTTCCCCTATTTTGCGTGGTTTTGTGGGGGTTGTTTAGTTCATTTCCTAAACTTAAGTTGGGCTAGCACTTCTTCCAATTCTTTATGAAGGTCCCAAGCAGCTGGATAGCCCGCATTCCTTATGGGACCTCCTCCCAAGCCACATTCCAATCTCACACCTGTCCACCCCCGACAAAGGTCTTGGTGTCGCTGCAGAACTCCGCCCTGAGTTCGGAACACTGCCTTTCTCTGTTTTCATCTTTCTCTCTACGTCAGTGTCCAGGGCTCCTTGTCTGGTGTTTGTATCTCTAAAAAGAACTAGGCTCCTCTGACTGCTGATCTGTGATGGCAACTCTGCCTTTATCATCTTGCTCTTCCAAAACTATGACAGAAAATACACTCTCATCTGTAAAACCTTTCCCTTTTGTAAGTTCACACCCTTTTTTTTTTTTTTTAATCCTCCAATATAATCCTTACACGCTTAGCCCATATGCAGTCTCCGGACTATAGAGGCCATTGTTAGTCTTTGGAAATAAATTTATTAAGAGTTTGACCTTTGATCTCTTTGTTTTCAAAAGGAAGAAAAGAAATAGCAGCTGCTCTCAAGCCAGATTCATCACACACGGCTTCCATGTCAATACAGCACAGCATCCTGCTTTGTATTGTGGGTAATTCACCCATCAATCTGCTTCCTCTAAAAGGTTTCTTTGTAGTCATCTCATGCCAGCTCACAAACCGTTTTGCAGAGCGCTCTACAGACAGCAGGTGGCATGTGCCCTCAGATGGGAGGGCCATCACCGAAGCCTCTGGGATTCCTTCAGCCATTTTCCTAAAACCACACTTTGCAATTCCCCTTCCACACACTGGGGTACTTTTCAATGATTTTACCTTGTTTTTTCTGTAGAGGTTGTTGTAGAGAACACGAAAGCTTTTCCTAGTGTAGCTGCTTCGGTAGGCTCCACCAATGAGGTATTCTATTACCAGCCCAATGTCGATGAGCGTTATTCTGTAGCTCGAGAGAAGAGTGTGCTACAACGAAGAACAAGGATTCACAGCTTTTTTTCTCCTCTATTCCTTTTTCCAGGCTCTCGGAAGGCAACACATTTAACTTACCCATCCCTTTATCTTCAGTATATTGTGACAAGGTTTCAGGAAAGAATTCAGGCCAGTCCTTTTGTTACAGTTCAAGTCAATATAACTTAAATTTATATCAGCATAGACAACTTTGCTTACTGTAAGTTTGCCAAGTAAATACCCCTCTTTCATCTGACTCTCCAACTAAGTCAACAGAAGCAGACAGCCCACACACTATCCAACGAGATACGAAGCTCAAAAAATGAGAGCACTCTTAAAATGTACTGTGGGTAGCTTTTTACCACAGTGGCAAATGAAAGACTTTTAAATTTTCAAGTTGTATGTTACTCAACATCCAATGAGAACACTGAGAAAAACACAAGCAAGGATGTTTGACCATCCTAACTCCCTACAACAGGGCTCAAACACACGCAGAGGTATTGTCTTCATCCCTAAGATGACACTGGTGCTCAAAACAAGGATAGCAGAAAATATCAGAAATCACACACTAGACATTCCCAAAAGCCCATGTGACTGCTGTTCTCATTGGCTCTGTGATAGATATAATCTATTGGGGTGCTGGCCCATTGCTTATGTTTCTTCATTTATTTTGGTTGTTTCTTTTGAGACAGGGTCTAATATGTAGCCCACGCTGCCTTTAAAACCTGGATCCTCGTGCCTCAGCCTCCTGAGTGTTATAAGCATGAACCCCCAAATCTGGCCTGTTTATTTGTTTATTTGTGTGGTGTTGACAACTGGACTCAAGGTTTTACGTAAAGCACTGTGCCACTGAACCACTTCTTCGGATACATGTTTCTCATTACTAAGTAACTTAGTTAATGGAACAAACTAAAACAGAAACAGTGGGAAACCCTAAAAGTAAAATTTGGTGATTAAAGAGTAAGTTAATTTACAACAAAATCCAAACCCACATTTTATAAATTTTCACTCAACTATCTCAAATCTAAGGTATTAGGCAAAGAGTATTTTTCAACTTTCATACTTAAGTTACCTGTTTGACATCTTGGACAAGATGACGCAAAAACATATTAGTTGGTCCTTGTTTCTGTGATTAAAAACGAAGAAAAAGAAGAATTTCATTAGACTGTCATACGCCGGAGGAGCTGTGTTTCAGAACTGCATAGGTATTTCAAATTATATGGGCAACCCAGAACATTGAAAACCTTCCTCAACATCTTTGGTAATGAAACTTAAGCTACCTTCATCCTGAAGAGCGAGTTTCCCAAGAGAAGTTGTGATTATTCAAAGTAATTATCAAAGCATGTTTATATAGAGAGATAGTAAGGGCATTAGTTTTATGTGGTTAATAGTACAGACCTTGAGCATTTATGACCTTCCTTTACTGTATACAAACTCTATCAGATAGTCACACGTCTCTGTACACAAGTGCATTCTATCAATTGGTACTTTATCAAATCCTTACTATGTTCAGTCTCCTGAGGGATTCAAGGGAGCCTTCACAATAAGAGAAAATGAAGAGCAGTATGTGTCCTAAAAGTGGCCAAAAGTGTGAAGATGTGCAGGCTAAAAAGAAGCTGAAAGTAATGCAAATTCTAGAAAGAGATCACTGCTAAGCACCTGGAGCAATGAAGAAGGGAGGCAGTACTGACAGAAGCAGGAGAGACAATACAGGAAGGTGCCTGGCATGAGCAATGGACATTTTCCCAATGGATAAGCAGGTTTCAGGGGTTGGACTTGGTCTTCAGTCTTGGACACAAGTGCCTTTACCCACTAAGCCACCTCACTGGCCCACGAGCATCATAGTAATAGTGGCTTTAGGTCAAGATACTCCCAATAATTGAACAAAAAGCAATTTTTTCTTATTCACACTGTAGTCTCTGTCTTGAGATAAAATGATTCCATGGTAAGGGTGTGACTTAAGTTAGGAAGTAAGTCCGCATTCTGAAAACTATGTTAGGACATGAGCATTCAAGGAGACAGACAAGCCCTAAGATAAAGAGAGCATGAATCTTGAGTAAGATGGCATGAAGTGTTCCATACTCACTGTATTATAAAGATCTTCCAGTCGGGGGATGGTGAGGAAACGGTGAAGGTTCACTCCATTCTCTATCAAGAGTTTCACAAAATCCACCCGATCCATCACTAAGGCATCTAACATTGCTTGTTCTAGAACACCAGGCTTCGGGAGGTACAAATAAGGAAGAGGTATGAAGACAATTGACACGAGAGAAACAAGAATCACAGATAACACTACATAGATGTCATCATTATGAAATACAATCTTCCTAAGAAAGCAGGGACCAACTAAAGACATAGGCAAGAATGATTCACGTTCTTGTGTGAGGAAACTAAACCCTTTACCAACCTCAAAGCTCCCCCAAACTGATGGTGAGTCTTAAATGTAATTCTAATGAAATTCCAAGAGTTTCTGGGTTTGTTTTTAATTTGAAAGTGGAGGGAAATATTTACTCATTCATTTGTCTGATTTTTTTAAAAATATTGATTTTAGCTTTGTTTTTGTTACCATAATTCTTCCATTTAAACCTTATCTGCATGAGGGGTAAAAGTAGCGTATGGAATGTATTCACCTGATTTTCCCTACCAAAAGTTCACCAAAACTACATTAGAGGAACTTATTTAACCAAATCAATTCATAAGTACAAAGGGGTGACAGGAGATGAGGATTGCAGTGTGAAATGTGAAACGCAGTTGGTCACGTGGTAGTTGGCTCAGCAGCCCACCCAAAGCCAAACAACTGAACTGAGAAGTGCCAAGGATCCCTCAGATGGATGCCATGTAACCATGACACCACAGTGACATCAATGTACACGTGCTGAGTTTAGCATTAGGACTTGGAAGTCATTGTTCCCACTTGACCCTCACTACAAGCAGTAACGCTTGCTCCTCCCAGCTTGGATAGACACTTCTTTTCTGGCATTATCACCAACGCAAGAGAAGATGCAAATATGCTGACACTGAGGAGTCCCCCAGCAAATGGCATCAGATGACCCTTTGCAAGTTCAAACTCACCGTGCACAAAATAGCTCCCTCTCTGTCTTTCACCCTTGAGTAAAAAAATTGAACACAAATGTTTCTAAAAAGCTAGGTGGAACCAAATAATTCAGGAGGAAAGCCTCCAAAGGGCTGTTATTAATAATTTTAATATTGATAATAGTTAATCAATTATCAATAAAATAATGGTTTGTTAATATTATAAATAATTGCCTCATAATTATTTATAAGATCTATTCCAGTTGACACTGAACACAGGGGAAAGGCAGTCCACTCAGCAAACAAATGTGCTCATGAAAATTGATAGACTAACCCTATGCTATCAGTAAAGTACGGCTTCACTGAGGCTGAGAAGTTGAGAAAACTTACCAAACACAAGCATAAGAAAAGCAAGAGAAAAAATTATCAGCAGCTGAGTAAATATTCCTGATTCAGGAAACAGGAATCCAAAAAAATGAGCAGAGAAAACAGAGGGGATAGAATGGAACTGTGAATAAAGTTTGAAGGCGTGTGCATAACAAATCTGTAGACTTGTGCTGTGTGAATGAGCATCATATATCTGAATGCTCTAGCTGATAGAACTGTTTGGGAAGGATTAGGGGGTGTGGCCTTGTCAGAGGAGGTGTGTCACTGGGGCCAGGCTTTGAGGTTTCAAAAGACTTGCACCCTTCCCAGTGTGTCTCTCTTTTTTGTGCTTGTGGTTCTGACATAAGAGCTTTCAGCTGTTCCTGCCACCAAGCCTTCACTCTGCCATCATGAACTCTGACCCTCTGAAACCATAAGCCCAATTAAATGTTTTCTTTCAGAAGTTGCCTTGGTCATGATGTTTTATCACGACAGTAGGAAAGTAATTAAAACAAGACCTAATATACACTATTGTGAAAGCTCAGAACCTTGGAGAAAGAAAATATCTTAAAAGTTCCAGGAAAGAGAAAAAAATTGGTCACAAAGGACCTAAAGATGAAATTATGTTCATTTGTCAACATCAGTGCTAGGCATTCAAAATCCTGCAGGGAAAAAAAATGTAGTTCTAGGACAAGTAAGATAGCTCATTGGGCAAAAACATTTGCCCTGAAAGCCCAGCAACCTGAGATGGATCCTTAGAACCTACATTAAGTTGTAAGGACAGAAATGACCCCTCAAAGTTGTCCTCTAGTCTTCACTTGCATGCCATGGCATGTGTGCCCCTTCCCCCAACAACAAAATAATAGTAGTAGTAGTAGTAGTAGTAACAAAAACTTAAAAATATTTATAGTCATGAATTAAAATACAGGCATATATTAGGCCTTCTGAAGATTTATTTCACACATTCTTTCTTAATGAAAGAATCCATGTCATCATTACAGAAGAGAAAAACTAGAAAAGCAGTCTTGAGGCACAGGAAACAGAGCAGAGGGGCAAGAAGTTCGCTTGCTGTTGAGGGAGAACCCATAATGATATCCAAGATCCAAAACCAGAAGGAACCTCCGGCTCCAGAGCAAGCCTTGCAAGACAGAAAGGTCAAGACATTTCTAACTTTTAATGAATTGGAAGATATCCTTGTGATGCAATTTAGAATCTAGAAAGTTATAAGTATCAGAATAGTCAAAATTGTCAAATGTAGAAGGCTCATTGCAGCACAAAATTATCATTTTCATAGCCTTGCAACCTTACTTGATGTTTTTAAACCCATGTGAAAGTGTTAGTTTGAATGAAATGCAACTGAGGTATAATCACAACTTAAATTCTTAGTACAGTATTAATGGTGGTTATTACCACTGTAATATTGAATATTGAATAGATTTTTCTGCTTTTCACTGATTTCTATTATTGAGATCAGAGAACAGTATGGTAACAGTAGAAATGAGGCCAAACCAAAAGAGAGCAGCTGCTCACTTCAGCAAAAGGCTGCCAGCTTTGATTCTTTTATGGGAATGGTCCAAGATTTGGTGATTGTCCATTAGTCATGGGCAGAGTTTCAAACACTATTCCTCTTAAGCACAAGCATCCTGGTCTTCTATTTGGTGGATTAAAAAGTGTTCAGCTCCACTCAGAAGCTGCTGAGTAAAGGGTCATGTCCTCATCTTGCACAAACTTCTTGGCCTCGTTACAAGGATGAAGGACTTGCAGTGCTTGAGTTAAAGGGAGTGCATGCGTAAGAAACTCAGACCCGCTCCAGCTGGCCGTGGTCAAGTTAAGCCTTCACTGTCTTTAAACAAAACATTTTTCAAATGATCAGCATGTCTACGTGCAGAGCAAAGGCTGAATCAAGACTGAGCAGCAAAGGGACAGGGAATGTGAAGGCACAGATACCAAGTCCTGTCTCCTACTTCAGTCATCTACCCGGGAAGTATATGTCCCAAAGCAGAGCCAGGATTTCTAGCTAACATGTCTGCAGAGTTCCCCGGACAGCTGTGATCATAGCCCACACACCAGAGGCGTGACTGGAGGAGAGGAGATTCAGTCTTATGGCATGCTGGCCTCGGAGGTGATTCTCAAGTCTTTTTGAAGACAACTTGTGGAATAAAGGTTTTTCTTGGCAGTAACTGTTCCCTTCATCTTGGCTTGCCATTTGTAGTTTTTATCTTGGTTTAGTCAAAAGGAGCTCCTGTAGTCATTTTAGATTTGTGATCTAGTCTGGCTCTTCACAGCACAGCTGATGACAGAGTGTAAGGAAGGACTAACCAGAGGCAAAAGACACACATTGTGTTTTCACTGGGTTAAGAGGTTAAGGACTTTTTGACAAGGAAGCAAAAAATTTCAAATGGAAAAAAGAAAGTATATTTAACAAGTGGTGCTGGATATCAACATGTAGAAGAATGAAAATAGACCCATAGCTATCACCATGCACAAAACTCAAGTCCAAATGGATCAAAGACTTCAACATAAAGCCGGCACACTGAACCTTATAAAAGAGAAGGTGGAAAGTACACTTGAACGAATTGGCACTCGGAACCACTTCCTAAATATAACCCCAGCAGCACAGATACTGAGAGAAACAACTAATAACTGGGACCTCCTGAAACTGAAAAGCTTCTGTAAAACAAAGGACATGGTCAACAAGACAAAACGACAGCTTACAGAATGATAAAAGATCTTCACTAACTCCACATAAGACAAAGGTCTGATCTCCAAAATATACAAAGAAATCAAGAAATTGGACACCAAAAGAATACATAATCCAATTTAAAAAATGGAGTATAGACCTAAACAGAGAAATCTCAACAGAGGTATCTAAAATGGCTCAAAGACACTTAAGGAAATGTTCAATATCCTTAGTCATCAGAGAAATGCAAATCAAAACTAATCTGAGATTTCATCTCATACCTGTAAGAATGGCCAAGATCAAAAACACTGATGGCAACCTATGCTGGAGAGGTTGTGGGGTAAAGGGAACACTTCTGCATTGCTGGTGGGAATGCAAGCTGGCGCAGCCCGTTTGGGTGTCAGTGTGACGATTTCTCAGAAAATTAGGAAACAACCTTCCTCAAGACCCAGTAATACCACTTTTGGGCATATATCCAAAGGATGCTCAATCGTGCCACAAGGACATATGCTCAACTATGTTCATAGCAGCTTTGTTTGTCATAGCCAGAACCTAGAAACAACCTAAATGCCCCTCAACTGAAAAAATGGATAAAGAAAATGTGGTACATTTACACAATGGAGTACTACACAGCAGAAAAAAATAATGACAGCTTGAATTTTGCAGGAAAATGGATGGAGCTAGAAAGCATTATTTTGAGTGAGGTAACCCAGACACAGAAAGACAATTATCACATGTACTCACTCATATGTGGTTTTTAAACATAAATTTTATGTTTAGCAAAGAAAGCCAGCCTACAAACCACAATCCCAGAGAACTTAGACAACAATGAGGACACTAAGAGAGACTTGCATAGATCTAATCTACATGGGAAGTAGAAAGTAGAAAACGGCAAGATCTCTTGAGTAAATTGGGAGCTTGGGGACCTTCGGGGAGGGTTGAAGAGGTGAGGGGAGAGGCAGGGAGGGGAGCAGAGAAAAATGTAGAGCTCAATAAATATCAAAAAAAAGAGGTTTAGGACTCAAAATGTATTTGTTTTGAGTCTTCTTGTGATAGTCTCTCATGTTTCACTACAAATACTACATTTTCATGTAAAGGTAAGTAAGACACTAAGATAATATTTAAGTTATAAATAATAAAAAACAAAATCTAACTCATTAAAAATAAATTTAAGCTCTTTCCATTCTTTTGATCTTTTGACTTCCTATTTCATCTTCCATGAAGCCAGAGAAATTTTGTTTTTGAGGAGGCAAACCAAGAAAGAGACATGCCTTTGCTTCCCTGACTGCCTACCCATCAGAGCGATACTATCTCTGCTCCAATTTTTTCTTTGTCCCTCTTGAACAAACCAATATGCAAAATACCTTTAAAAAAAACACTTCATTTTCATTATACCTTCCAGTGTTGTCCATAAATTAGGATATGTTTCTTGGCTATGTCCACTCTGTCCCAAGCCATTGCCAGGTTTAATTGTTCTGACACTGATAAGCTTGTGCCTGGGGGGGGGGGGGGGAAGAAAGGAAAAATCATATATTCTCTTCAAAACTATCTACTTGAAAAGCATAGAATCCTCTAGAACACGAGAAGGGGAAGGGAGGAGGAACTGTGAAGTTGGTGGGCCACTCACCCTTCAGCAAAGCCGTGAGGATTGCCAAATCAAGGTCTTGGTGCTCCTCAGAATCAGCATCAAATATGGTAATCTGTGACGGGGGAAATCAAAAGTCATGCGGTTTAGAAACTACCACAGACATATCTTCAAATGGTACCAATGAGACGAACACTTCAGCTACTGAAGAAAATGGTCCTGCTTTTGTAATTTAAAAACAGCATGGTGTTATGTGACTTACAGAAGAAAAACTGTTTCAAATAGGGTGACAAAGAATTAGAGGCACTCGGAAAAAATAAACACTAAAAATCTCACATGTCGTGGAGCTCACGATGCATCCTCCTCGGGTAAAACGCCCCATTGTCAACTCTATGTAAATTGAGTCACTCTCCTATGGAAGGAAAAACTGTGAGAGCCCTCTGTGCACATGAACATTGAAACTAAGACCTTTGCTTCACGATGAGAAGTGACTCCTCAAATGTCCATCCTGACCTCAGTGAGATGGTGACCATGGAGCCCACGGATGGTCCAATGAGCTGCGTTCTTCATGATGTAAGTGCCCAGGGCATTTTAGTATGAGACTGACTTAAAAAAAAAAAAGCATAGAATGTGTCAGATCCACTGTGACACTTTTTAATGAAATATGATGATTATGTGGTTCTTGCTTCCACCATCTCCACATCCATTGGTACTTTTGTGTCCCCGGGCACCCTCCCAACAGATTCTCTTCCTCTTTGATGTCCTGTGTGTCCTTTGACCCACCACATACTCATCCCTATCCTTCATCGTTTGGTATTACCCTTTTTTTGGTCTCCTTTCTAGATTTTTAGACTTGATATATATATATGTGTGTGTGTGTGTGTGTGTGTGTGTGTGTGTGTGCGCGCGCGCGTGCGCTGTGGTCATCTAACACAGCAGATTTGGGTCCACTGGACTCCTGGAGCCACTCTTGCAGCCCTTGCAAATGTTTATGTTTGGCAACTTTTGTGTAATATGTTTTTGTAAGTGCTTTGTCCCAGATTAAATCTGAAATGCAAAACATGAAGGGTAAGAGTGGAGGTGGAGCAGGAATCCAAGTTTACACAACTGGAGGGTCAAATTTGCAGAGTCATATCCATCAAAGTTCAAAATGGGTATTCCATGCATTTTTTTTTAAAAAAAATGTGAAAATAAATATTTTGATATCCGGAAGGTGGCTTTTTTTTTTTAAGCCATCAACTCATCATACTTACACAATCCTTGTGCACCATGCAGTTCATTAGAATTTGGAAAAGGTGCTTAGACTGCCTAAGGCTAAAGTTGAACATGCTCTGAACCAAGCAGATGATCTCTTCTTTCACTTGAGGGCGCAGCATCCTGGCGGAGAAATAAATGGGCGTAACTTGAAGAGGCCAAGCCAGTAGCACGGATGCTAGTAGGGTACTCCATGTGGGTACCCTACTGAGAAACATGCCCTCAAGAGAGTCCATGAGCAATAAGCAAATACATGGCAGGGAGAGAGGGGTGCGGAGAGGATGAAGTGTAATGTGAGAAGTATTCATCCACCAGGTCCCCTGAAACAATACATTCTAAACTAGTCTTCTTGATCTGATAGGGTTCCAGAAGACAGTGCATTTTCACAGTCTGGGTATAATATTGTCAAATGGTCTGATCGCCTGAAACGGCAGGCGGTTGCCCAACTGAGACAATAGCAACTCTCCCAGTTACAGGGTGGGAGTCTACTGCACAAATCCAGTCACTGAAAGAGGAATGACTGTCTCTGCACGTGGCTCATCTGGCCCACGAACACGCACAGAAGGAATAGTCACCATATTTTCAGAACAGAAGAGTCAGCAACTCACCCTCCGTCCTCCAAGTGTTTGTAGGTGAAGGCCAGGATGTCGGCAGCTCGGCCTGTGCCCTCACACACCACCACAGGCTCCTTGTTCTTGACAGTCTCCCACACCGAGAGGATGACATTGGGGCCTCCTTCCACCACCAACCCCACCACGGGCACACCTTGTCTTGAGCCTGTTTCAGGTCACAAACAGTACCACACTGTCACAAAGCTGTCTTGTCTAGTGTGGTGTTCTGTTCCTGCTTTCTGCTGATCTGGATGTAGAACTCTCAGATACATCTCGAGCACCATGTCTGCCTGTGTGCTACCTTACTTCCTGCCATGATGATAATGGACTAAACCTCTGAAACGGTAAGCCAGCCCCAATTAAATGTTTTCCTTTATAAGAGTTGCCTGATCCTGGTGTCTCTTCACAGCAATAGAAACCCTAAGACAGGGATCTATGCAGGATGACTGCCAGGAGAAGCCCATGCTCACATCCCACTTCCTGAAGCTCACAAGGCCCCAAGATCTTGGCTTCTGGGGGCTGCTTGGGCCTCTGTCCCAAATACATCCTGTGCAAAGCAAGAGGCAGATTAGTGTTAGCTGTCAACTAGGACGAGTCTGGAATCCCCTGAGAGATGGCCCTCTAGGCACGCCTGTGGGAGATTATCTTGATTGCACTTATTGATATGGGAAGAACCGTCTTGAATGTGAACAGGACTATTCTCTGGCAAGAGCTTCCCAGACTGTATAAAATGAAGAAAAACAAGTGGAACACTAACACGCGTTTATGTCCCTCTGCCTCCTGATTGTGGATGCGAGAGAACCAATTTCTTCAAGCTGCTGTTGCCTTGACCCCCCCCCGGCATGATGGCCCATACCCTTGAACTGAGAGCCAGACCAAGCTCAACCTTCCCGCGGTTGCTGTTGTCAGAGAATCTCATCATGGGGGAATCTAAGACATTATTGAACACATTTTTTTTTTTCTCGGTTTCTGCAACGAATGTTCGAGATAGACAAATCTTTACACTTATAAAGTTTAAAAGTTTCACAAGTGTTAGCTCCATTGCCCAAGCTCACAGACAACAAACACGGAGTTGTCTCTAATCCCACACTTGCTGCTGCCTCAAAGGAGCAACAACAAAAACTAAAGGGACTTACTTCCGCACCCACCATGCGAAGGGGGCAAAGAACTAGAGCCCCTTGAAGGGTACGGGTATCTTAAGGAAGACTTGGCTCAGTACAACTCAGGGCCCACTTGGTGACGCCTGAGTAAAAAGTCTCCGTCCCTTCAGAAAGCAGTAGCCTCCCCGCACCCGCCTCTTTCTAGAAGGATTCTCTAGCCAGCCTGACTAGCACGCCTGCTCCACAGACAACACCAAATGGCCATTTGTTGTCGTTGCTGCTGCTGAGGAGGGAGGACGGATCTTGGCAGTGCTGGGTTGGAACAGAGCCTCACACGTGCTAGACAAGCCCCTTACCACATAACTGTAATGCCAAAAGGATTGCCACTGTCTGCTACATGTACTCTCCAGCCAAAAAGTGACATTCTTACAGCACCAGTGTGAACACGGCACAGCCTTAATGCCTTCCAAACTCTTCTTTCTACAGGTTTTAACCCGTACCCTGAGTGCTGATTTTTAACTCCTTCCCTGCCGAGGGCACACACATGAAATTTCAGTCTTCCTTGACAAACAAAGCTCAGATGCATATTCCTCTTGAGTTCATCTTTTTATTTCTCCTTAGCCACTCCCTTTTACACATGGACACTTCCCTATTGCTCTCTGTCTAGCCCTACACTCTCTTGGATGCCTTGCTAAAGTTTCATTCATGAGGAAATCTGCCCCGACTACCCTGTCCCCCAAAAGACGTCTTCCTCTGTCCTAATGTCACCAACAATGCTGTATCAACCAACATCCTGCTTTCCTCTATCTTTTGGCTCATGCGTGTTAGCTGGACGCTCTGGCTGCTCGAAGGCAGGGAGCCCCTGAGGTCTGCTCACCCTGAGTAGATGGCAAGGAGGCACCTGGTTCACTAGCAAGCCCCCAGCCCCCCACCCCGCGGCCGCCAGATGCCGGGCCCCGATGGAACTTACAGCTGTGGATCTTCTGCGTGGAGAGATGCTTCTCCAGGTTCCGCCTGAGCTTCACCTCATTCCCATACTTGCCCACTGTCCCATCGTCACACAGGATGAAGTGAGAGTGCATGGAGTTGAGGGTGGTGAGCTTACTGAACGGGTTGCCACTCACAGGCTGGTACATGCACACTACCTGGGAGACAGCAAGGACGAGGGGGCCTCAGAGCTCAGAGTCCTTCCACAGACCTCGCCGACTCTAAGCCCTGTTTGTCTACAGTAGTGGAGCACCCTATCTAGATGAAAAGTATTACTGACGATTTAGGACCGTATTTCTCAACAAGCTTATCTTTTTAAATTAGTTCTCATTTCTTACAGATCAAACGATGCCCTCCATCAATAGGGGACCTCGCGGTGCATGAAAAAGACAAGCTGAGCAATGCCCACATGCCCTACCCAGGTCAGCAGGATAAGCACCCGGCCATGGCACCATGGGCTTAGATGACATGGTAGTCATATTACTAAAATGGTTCTAAAAAATAATTTCTCATTTTTGGTACTTACCTTGTTTCTGACCATTAAAAAACTGTTCAAGGATGGGCACCAGTCCATAGACTACACCACTATCCAAAAGAAAATTATTCTAGTAAACTTTCGAATAACATTTTGGTACTATTTTTTCACATATTCCAAATGAAATACAGGCTAACAGACAGCAGTGTGACTTCAGGGTCTTTGTTACATTTATGGACTCTCCCTTAAGCTGCTCTGCTTCTTATTTCCAAGTGTAATCTCGGGCTAATTTTAACTCTCAGTAATTTCTGTCTCGCTTTTTCTCTTGTAGAAGTAAGGATAATGATCCTTCCAATACCACAAGGTTTTTGTAAGACTTCAAAGAAATAACAGACCTTAGCCTTTAATGATTAACTTTATAATTTCACAGCATAAAGCAGAGGCCAGAAACCAGAGGGAAAGTCACTGGTAGGTTTACTACAAGCTGTGCATTTATAAAAAAATGCAAAATAAAAACTGGGAGAAATGCTTAATATTGACAATGTTATGGGGTTGAATTATGGTAATGCATAAAAATATACACAGATACTAAACCTCATAAACAATCAGAGTGAAGCATGATTAACAAAAACTCAGAGACAGAAATTAGAGTTCAACCTGAAGGTCAGAAAAGCAAAATAGGCAGCCACTGGCTCTTACCTCTACCTCAGTTTGAAACAGCAATCCTACCTCCAGGATTCTCAGAATGAGACTGAGCGCTATCTCCTCCCACCTTGTAATCCCCTGTAGTTATGGGATGAAAGACATGTGCCACTACTGTCTGACTTCTATGGCAAGTTAGTGTGGCTCCTGGGACTAAAGGTGCATGTCATTGCTGCCTAGTCTGCAAGGTTGGCCAGTGTGGTTATTTTACTTTTCTGATCCTCAGGCAAACTTTATTAAAATACTAATGAAACGTCACTACATCAGTCACAGGATGAATAGATGAGAACACATCAAAAAGCTTAAAATTCATAAACATAAGCAAAGAAAACCAGTCTACAAATCACAATCCCAGAGAACCTAGACAACAATGAGTACACGAAGAGAGACTTACATAGATCTAATCTACATGGGAAGTAGAAAAAGACAAGCTCTCCTGAGTAAATTGGGAGCATGGGGACCTTGGGGGAGGCTTGAAGAGGGGAGGGGAGAAGCAGGGAGGGGAGCAGACAAAAAGTAGAGCTCAATAAAAATCAATAAATAGGAGAAAAAAATAAAAAATTCATAAGCTCTAAGTCATCTTTCACCTTTGAAGAATAATAGGTGAACGTCTCAAGGTTTTTAAAACTGCCAAATAAGGTATCAGGTAGTACCTTCCCCTTTCTGTATTCTCATGTAGCACAAGATGATATATATGTTGATGAAAATATTTTTCTTTATAGGGTATTAAGCTAGTAAGTACAATAAGAATGCTACAATTAAATATCATTTGATACCTACATTGGTTAGTTTTTTGTCAACGTGACACAAGCTAGAATGATCTGAGAAGGGGGACCTTCACTCGGCAAATGCCTCCATCAGATTGGCTTATAGGCAAGCCTATGAGGAATTTTGGATTAATAACTGATGTAGAAGAGCTCAAGCAACTGTGTGTCATATCACCCCTGGGCAAATGGTCCTGTGGTGTATAAGAAAGCAAAGTGAGCAAGTCAGAAGGAGCAAGCTAGCACACAGCACTCTTCCATGGTCTCTGCTTTAGTTCCTGTCTCATGACAATACAAATACAGCCTTTCTCCCTAAGTTGTTTTTAGTCATGGGCTTTATCACGGGAATAGAAAACCTAACTAGGACATAATACTGTTGAAAATTGAATCTAGATAATGGCTGCCAAAAATCATAAATTGGTAGATATCAAATATTACATAAAAGGGATATAGCTCCTCTCAAGGCATAAATTTGCACAAAAGAAATCTGAATATGATCACACTTGTAGATCAAACTAGCAATTTACAAGAAAGACAAGAGACAAAAAACATGCTAGGTCTGCTTCAATAGGCTATATCTAAAAAACTGTTAGAAACTTTTTGAGGCAAATGGTTTAATTTCTTCAACAAATTAGAGGGGCAATTAATTGTAAGTATCAATTATAAGTCATAATAGGGGCATTATAAGTCATATACAGGGCAAAATGAACTATAAGTCAATAAGGAAAATTGAAAATAAAAAAAATGTACTGGTCCATCACAATATATAAAACATTGTTGCTTAATAAAAATCAAAAGATTTAAAAGTATGAAACTATATTGAATTTAGATTTTAAAGACATTAAAGTAGGGGAATACTCTTCTGGAAGAGAAAGAGAAACATGGTAAGTGGAGGACAAGTGAGGGTAAAGGGGGAACAGATATGTGCTGTAGAATAATCCTTATGTATGCTGCAAAGATTTGTCATTCAAATTGTTTTAATAAAGAAGTTGACTGGCCAAGAGCTGGACAAGATAAGGTTAGGCAGGAGAGCCAAACTGAGAATGCCAGATAGAAGAAGGACAGAGTCTCAGAGTCACCGAGAGATGTAGAGGGACCAAGACATGCCGGAGGAGAGGTAAAGCCACAAGCCACATGGCAGCACATAGATGAAAAGAAATGGGTTAATTTAAGTTGTAAGAGCTAGTTAATATTAAGCTTGTGCTATGGGCTCAGCATTTATAATAAATATTGAGTCTCTGTGTTGGTTACTTGGGAACTAGCAGGTGGGAAAGAAAAATACACCTAGAGTTAAGTCAGATATGTTACATGCATATATGTGTGAAGATGTTGTAATGAAGTATATTACTTTATGTGATGAATATAGATTAATCAAAAATTTTAAACCATGAAGAAATAAAAAACTAGATTGCACTGAGAAGTCAAGGGTACTCATTAATTATTGTTAATTTTTGGGAACTTTAATAGTATTATAATGATATTTTCTTAAATTGCCCATATATTTTAGAAGTATCTTAATGTAAGCCCTGAAACTCAGAAGCTTCTAGAAGAAAAAAATATAAAACAATTTAAGATATAGATAAGGGGATAGCTTTCTAACTAGATCTCCAGCCATAGGAAAAAAAAAAAGACCAATGATTGACCAAAAAAAAAGACGTCGTGAAATTTAGAGGTTTCTGTACAACAAAAGAGACTATTAATCAATTGAAGAGGCAGAATTCAAAATGGAACAAGACCTATACCACTTACACATCCTATAGAGGATTAATATCTGGAATATGTAAAAAATTTAACAAGCTAAGCATCAAAAAACTAAAACAACCCAATTAAATATGGGCTGAGGAACTGAACAAAAACATTTTAAAAGTATGGACTAACAATGAAAACTTTTAAAGTGCCCAACATCCTTAGCCACCATGGCAATGCAAATCAAAACTACTTTGAGATTCTATCTCACCTCAGTCAATCAAGAAAACAAATGACTGCAAATCCTGGAAAAGATGTGGGGAAAGAGAAATCCTACACTGCTAGTAGGAGTGTGACTGGTGTAGTCACTTTGGAAATCAACCTGGAAGTTGCTTAAAAAAAATTTAAAATAGAACTGCCATATGGCCCAACAACCCCACTTCTGGGCAAACACCCAAAGGATTCTACATTTTATCACAGAGGTGCCTACACATCTACATTCATTGATGCTCTGGTTACAATACCTAGGAAATGGTTTCAGCCTATTAGCCATCAATAAATGAATACCTAACAAAACTTCCAAAATACCTTATGGAAGTTTATTCATCTATGAAGAAAAATGAGGCTTGTTGAGAAACAAATAGAATTGGAAAAATTATACTGACTGAAGTAATCCAGACCTAGACAAACAAATCCTGTATGTTCTCTTTTATTTGCAAATCCTAGCTTCAAAGTTTTGTGAATTTTTTAAAGCTGAAAATGATGTTGGTTATTGAAATTTGATACAAATTCAATGCTCAATCCCTTTATCAAACTCAGAAAATTTCAATTATGAATAACAACTACTAAGCACTTAAATAGATCTTAGTATAAAAACTGAAGAATTATTTGCTATACTTATGCTAACTAAAGATTTCTGTTGCTGTAGTTATCTGTGTGTTTTAGTTAACAAAACAAATACCTAAATCATTGAAGTTAATTGTCACATCCACAGAGCCATGAAAAGTAACAGAGCTAGGTTTTAAATGCATAGGGTGTGTGCGTGTGTGCGTGCAAGCATGCATGTGTGTATGTTGATAGGAGTAATAGATTTTTATAAATAGTACCCAGATCACATACTAATGGTTTATTTTCTGCATGTGATCATAATATTTAGAAGGAGGTTGGGCAAAAACAAACAATTTTAAGATAGATTTTGTCATTAATTTTCTACAAAACCATGGATATGATATTCTATACTACTAAAAGCAAGGAATCTGGTAAGTATATGCAAAGGACATATAAGCAAATATATCAATTTTAAGCTTTGTAATAGAAAGCCTAAAAATAAAAGCTATCCAACATTGGCTTTCATTTATATATAGCTTCAATTTTTTATGTTCCTTTGTTTAATCCAGAGTGAATATCTATAAAGACAAGGGACCAAGAAAATAGACATAAGGTGGGTAAGGCATGGCAAGGAATAGACACTAGAACACATGATATGAAAGCAGAGGGAGGGGATTCTGCAAGTGAAAGGTTTAATCTGGAATTCAGGAAGAAGAATAGAAAAAAGAGATGGGACAGTTAATAAGATAAGGAATTGTGGGGAAAGTCCTGTGGAAACCTACTACTTTGTGAGTTGACTAAAAGGGGGATTTTTTTTAATTCTTATTTTGAAGATACAATTATTTGATGTCTGTAGTTTGTTTCAAAGTAATGAACACCATTACTTGGAAATGGATAAAAAAATAAATGAAACAAAGTTGAACAACAAATCAATAGCCATTAAAACTAAGAAATGGTACACAAGAATTCATGGTTGGAGCATTGCCACTGTTTAATATGTGGACTTTCCAAAATACAAGTCAAAATAAACCATGACCAGTGTGTAGCAACTACCATTAAAAAAAACCTGTTGAATAATCAAACAGTAAATATCAGATTCATCTGTTTTTAAAAACAGATTTTGTAGGAACTGTGGCAAAGGCTCACATGGTAATGTGCTACTGCACAAGCATAAGGACCTACACTCAGATCCCCAGCACCCACATCAAAAGCCAGGCAGGACAATATGTATCTTCAACACTAGTGCTGTGGGGATAGATGGGTAAATTCTGAGGGCTTAGCAGAGGGCCAGCCTAGCCAAACAGCAAATTCTAGATTCAGCAGATGACTCTCAAAATTTAAGGTGAAGAGCAATATAAATACCCATAGGTATTTAGCATTGACCTATGACCTCCACAGACATACCCATGGGCATGCACATGTACACACATGTGCACAGATTCATAAACCACATACACACACACATACATACAACAAGCATTTTAACTCTAGACATATACAAATGTGTAACCAAATTCTAAAATGGTAGCATATCAAATATTATCAATAATTAACTCCTTGAATCTTTTACTAATGCATTATACTTTCAACAACAAACACACATGTGCTTTATACATAAGTTTAGACAGTCCGTTCCCTATCAACAGGCAAAGATAGAAACAGATATGGGTCTGGGGAGATGGTTCAGATGGCAAAGAGTCTATGAGGAACTGACTTCTGTCCCCAGAATGCACATTTAAAAAAAACAGTAGGGCTAGGGGAGGTGGGGGAAAAAGTCAAGCATGGTGGTATATGTGCACATATTTGTATTGTTGGTACTAGGGAGATAGAATTGGCAGAACCCTGGGGTTCACTGACTGGCCATCCTAGCATTGTCAGTGAACTCTAGACCTGTGAGAGACCATATTTCAAAAGAAAGGCAAAGGAAGATATAGGGTACCTGAGAAACAATACCAAGGTTGTGTTCTGACTGTACACAAGTCTACATATATACATGCAAGTATACCTGTCTGTACACATCACACACACACATTCATACACACACATATTCTACACACACATACACATATTCTTACACATACAAACATACATACACATACTCTTACATACACACATACAAAAACACAATACTCTTACATATACAAAGAATGAGTACACAGGAATGAATGAAGCAGAGCAGAATATAAGCTAGGAAAAAACAAGTAGAAAGGGCCAACTTAACAGTGTGATTTGTTCTTTGTGTAAAACACTACAAGGCTCTATACATTGGTTGTATGCAGGATGGACCCACTCAAGAATTTGACAAAGAGAATAGCATGGTCCAATTTATAAGAATTACTGTGTTGAATCATTAGCTCATATTTCAAAAACCTGTACTCTACAAAATTGGAAAACTTAAAGGAAATGGACAATTTTCTAGATAAATACCACTTACAAAAATTAAATCAAGACCAGATAAGCAAATTAAATAGACCTATAACTGCTAAAGAAATAGAAACAGTCATCAAAAGTCTCCCAACCAAAAAAAAAAAAAAAAGCCCAGGACCAGATGGTTTCAGCATAGAATTCTACAAGATTTTCAAAGAACTAATATCAATACTTCTCAAATTGTTCCACACAATAGAAACAGAAGGAATGTTGTCAAAGTCTTTTTATGAGGCTACAATTACCCTGATACCCAAACTACACAAAGACATTATTAAGAAAGAGAATTACAGACCAATATCAATCAATAAACATTGATGCAAAAATACTCAATAAAATACTGGCAAACAGAATTCAAGAACACATCAGAAAAATCATCCACCATGATCAAGTTGGCATCATCCCAGAGATGCAGGGATGGCAACATACAAAAATCTGTCAATGTAATCCACCAAATAAGCAAGCTGAAAAAAACACATTATCATCTCATTAAGATGCTGAAAAGGCCTTTGACAAAATACAATATCCCTTCCTGATAAAGGTCTTGGAAAGAGCAGAGATTCATGGAGCATACCTAACCCTAATAAAAGCAGTATATACATCAAGTCAACAGTCAACATCAAACTAAATGGAGAGAGAATCAAAGTGACCCCACTGAAATCAGGAACAAGGCAAGGTTGTCCACTCTCTCCATATCTATTTAATATAGTTCTTGAAGGTCTAACTAGAGCAATAAAACAACAAAAGGAGATCAAGGGGATACAAATCAGAAAAGAAGTCAAATTCTCACTGTTTGCTGATGATATGATGGTTTACGTAAGCGATCCCCAAAATTTTACCAAGTAACTTTTACAACTCGTAAACATATTCAGTAATGTAGCAGGATACAAGAATAACTCAAAAAAATCAGTAGCCCTCCTATACACAGATGATAAATGGTTGAGAAAGAAATCAGAAAAATATCACTCTACACAATAGCCACAAATGGACTAACTCTAACCAAACAAGTAGAAACCTGTATGACAAGAATTTTAAATCTTTGAAGAAAGAAATTGAAGAAGACACCAGAGAAATGAAAAGGTCTCCCATGCACTTGGGTAGGTAGAATTAACATAGTAAAAATGGCAATCTTACCAAAAGCAATCTACAGATTCAATGCAATACCCAGCAAAATCCCAGCAAAATTCTTCACAGACCTCAAAAGAACAATACTCAACTTCATATGGAAAAGTAAAAAAATACAAAATAGCCAAAACAATCCTGTACAATAAAGAAACTCCTGGAGGCCTCACAATCCCCAACTTCAAACTCTACTACAGAGCTACAATACTGAAAACAGCCTGGTATTGGCATAAAAACAGACAGGAGGACCAATGGAACTGAATTGAAGACCCAGATATCAATCCACAACCTGATTTTTGACAAAGAAGCAAAAAAATATCAAATGGAAAAAAGAAAGCATATTCAACAAATGGTGCTGGCATAGCTGGATATCAACATGTAGAGGAATAAAAATAGATCCATATCTAAGGTCATGTACAAAACTCAAGTCCAAATGGATTAAAGACCTCAACATAAAGTCAGCAAAACTAGACCTCATAGAAGACAAAGTGGGAAGTACACTTGAATGCATTGTCATAGGAGACCACTTTCTAAATATAACCACAGCAGCACAGACACTGAGAGAAACAATTAATAAATGGGATCTCCTGAAACTGATAGGTTTCTCTAAAGCAAGGGACATGGTCAACAAGAAAAAACTGCAGCCTACAGAAGGGGAAAATATCTTCACCAATCCCACATCAGACAGGGTCTGATCTTCAAAATATAGAAAGAACTCAAGAAATTGGTCATCAAAAGAACAAATAATCCAATTAAAAATTGAGGTACAGGCATAAATAGAGACCTCTCAACAGAGAAATTTAAAATGGCTGAAAGGCACTTAAGGAAATGCTCAACATCCTTAGCCTTTCATTAGAGACATCCTTTCATTAGAGAAATGAAAATCAAAACAACTCTGAGATTTCATCTTACACTTATAAGAATGGTCAAGATCAAAAACACTGATGACAACTTATGCTGGAGAGGTTGTGGGGTAAAGGGAACACTCCTCCATTGCTGGTGGGAGTACAAACTGGTACAGCCCCTTTTATGGCGATTTCTCAGAAAATTAGAAAACAGTCTACCTCAAGACCCAGCAATACCACTTTTGGGTATATAACCAAAGGATGCTCAATTGTACCACAAGGATATATGTTCAACTATGTTCATAGCAGCATTGTTTGTCATAGGCAGAACCTGAAAACAACCTAAATGTCCCTTGACTGAAGAATAGATAAGGAAAATGTGGTTCATTTACACAGTGGACTGCACAGCAGAAAAAAAATTGACATCTTGAAATTTGAGGGCAAATGGATAGATATAGAAAATATCATATCGAGTGAGGTAGCCCAGACCCAAAAAGACAAATATTATATTTACTCACTCATAAATGGCTTTTAGACATAAAGAAAAAAAACAGCCTACAATTCACAATCTTAGAGAACCTAGGCAACAAAAACGACCCTAAGAGAGACATACATGGATCTAATCTACATGAGAAGTAGAAAAAGACAAGATCTCCTGAAGAAATTGGTAGCACTGGGACCATGAGAGAGGTTAGAAGGGAAGGGGAATGGGAGCAGAGAAAAATAGAGAGCTCAATAAAAACAAGAAAGAAAGAATTACTCTGTTATTGCATTGAGGCTAGACTACAACAGATTACAAAAGTAAGAGAAAGGGAGACTTCCAAGCATTTGGGTGTTAGAGCATGGTCATTTAGTTCTGCCTCAATGACAGGGGAGGGAAAAAGAAGTTAGACTCTGATTATACTCTGAAGGAGGAGTTGAGAGTTTACCGAAAGGTTGAATTTGAGGCATAACACAAAAGGGGTTGCTCTAAACTTAATCCAAGGTTTTGGATTAGGCAGTTGCAAGACAGAACTGGCATTTTGTGAGCTAGGGTGACAGATGTCATAGGAAGGCAAACGTTGATTCATCACATTTGAGGTGTCTTATCAGATATTTGGGTACATCGTAAAGACAGCAATTCAGACACATCTTATTTCTCTTTGTTATGAAAGAATGGTCTACTCACATCTCTTCCAACCAGTTCCCTCTGGTTCTCAATGACACCCCAAGGAGGGATTCCAACTGTCCAGATTTTCCTCAAACACTTAGAGGAATGGGCTTTTAGGGCATCCCCAACGTGCTTGGACACTCCTATGAAACAATCAGAGCAGAAGTCAAATTTCAGCTCATAGATCAAGATAAACAAGGACTCTCACAGACAAATAGATGATCGTATGTAAAATGTCATTCTTAAGGAAGACTCTTAGCACCGTGGAATTGGAAGCTGGCTTCTTGACTTTCTCTCTCTTCTCTTAACCTCTCTTCCTCTTACCTGGAGCCAGGACCTGAATAATTCTCCTCTTCCTTGACCAATTTCTAACACAATCACTACTCTTGCCTGGCTAGAATGTTCCATGTACTGCTTAACATCGTGAGCATTGCAGTGTTATCAAATGAATCAGTAAAATGCCCTGAAACTCTGATATAAAGGCATGAGGTTCAGAGACCACTGTGTGGGAGATGGGTTTTTTGTTTTGGTTTGGTTTGTCTTTTTCCCTACCATCACCAAATCTGCTGTGAGTGCTACAGAGCAGGGATTTGATAGCAGGGTATTTGGCAGATAGGGAAGCGGGGAGTGGAAGGGATCCAGCATGCACTTTACCTGAGTTTATGCCTTCTGTAATTATCCATGCTCCTGTGGTCTCTGCAGCTTTGACCAGACCCTGGCTGAAGGCTTCTTTGAGGTTGGAGGACATCTTGAAGTTCTGGATACCCCCATGAACAGAGATCACAAGCTTTGGCAGCTCCATATTCCATTCTTTCAACATTAAATGCAACAGGTGTTCCGAGTTTGTATCCCAAGAAGTTCTGATGTACTGGAAGGACAGTATACACCCATGAAGAGAACACAGTGCACCATGCAAGTCAGTAGAGAAAATGAGCACACAGCGGGGCCACTGGTCAGAAGTGTTGAGGGCTTCTCTGAAGGTTTAACTTCACCTAATGGAAATGTTTTCTTTTAAAGACTCCACACTCCCTCCAACTTCCTTCTGGGAATTATAAACCATGACAGATAAGCTTCCTCTGTTTGGAGGTTTGGCCTCCATGATTCATAAGAAGGCTGGAGGTGAGGCAGAAATACTTCATCAGTACATCAGCAAAGCGATTGGGAGGGAGCTTTACAAAGAAGATGAAATATGACTTTTCAATAGCACATGACTCTGCATGTACTTGATCCTTCTCATATATCTGTAAACACTTTAAAAATTCAGGAGCATGAACCTGTGTTTTTAATTTATCTACCAATAATTTCTTTACATACCATTATCCCTCTGAGAAAATTTTCTTTTGAAAATAAGTACATTCACCTCTGATAGTGCTAGCCAAAGAAAAGACCAGTGAGGTCACACCTAAGAGAGCCACTGGTTTGACATTACAGAGCATGACTGGCCACAGGCCACCTAATTTCTGCACAGTGAGGTGAGTTCGGCTTCCTCAAACAGAATCCCAACCAGTGGGAATAAACCAGGTTATGAGGGGAAAAGGGGGGGGGACATTGGGAAAACATGAATTACAAGTCTATGTCAAAAGCATGGGTGGAACGCTCCATAAAAGCAAGTATAAATTATCACAGTAGCCTCTAAAATAACAAAGTAGTTTGCTATTCATCTTTGAATTTGTTAATATAGGAATACTTCATTTCATAAGTAAAATATTAGAATTTCTGACCATCTGGTCTGTACAGCTATCATAACACACATGTAATAGAAAGAATAGAAGGAAGACCATGAGCCCATGTATGAGAGATGCCACTGCACTGCCAGGTTTTACAACACACTGCAATAGCAGGACAAACACAAACGGACCCTTAAGAGATGGTTCTGTTGCTGAGAACAATGGGTGAGGGCAAAGGAGAAGCCTGGGTTCCATTCACCTGCCTGTACCCCAGCTCTTCTCTAGGGTGAGCCTGACTTCAACTCTAGATCTTCCCCATTGTAGCAGGTATGGCTCTTTGGAGAAACACTGCAAAGAACTAAGTCATTAGCAATGGTTTGTCCACCCAAAGGCTAACTGAAAACCTCTCTTCTATTTCCTTTATAAGTAACTCACTTCCCCTGGCCGAACCTAATAAGCAGACTCTCTCTCATATCCTTCATAGAACTGGGTACGCACGTGGAGGGGAGGGACTCTGGGAAGAACACTGCAGCGGAGGGAAACAAAAGACAGTCTCTCTCAAGATTGGATGCTGCTCAATATGAGCTGGAAGGATGAAGCACACTCTGCTGAGACATGAACTAAAATGCACTCAGATACACAAGCTGTGATGACAGAAGCTGTGGGAACCGAAGAGATGGCTCAGTGGTTGCTGAGATGGCAGCCCTTCCAGAGAATGAAGGTTCAATTCCTAGCACCCAAATGGAGAATTCCAACCATCTGTAACTCCAGGTTCAGGAGACCTGATGCTCTCTTCCCACCTTCATGGGCACCAGGCACACATGGTGCACAGACACACATGCAGACAAAACATCCATGCACATCAAATAAAAATAAATTTAAGGGGAAAAATAAGCCAATTGTCAGGAGGTATATCTAGCTCTATTCTCAATTTTCCTGAATGTTCTTTGACCTTTGTACAAGCAAAGCAACTTCTTCACTGGGCCCCTTGACCTTGTTCACCTTCAGATCTCAGCTTAATACAGGGGCCCGTTTTCTCTATCTCTGAATGTCTTCCTCATTGCACACTATGTCCTCTCTCTCTGAGACTGAAGGGGTTATCACTTTCATTCTCTCAAAGAACCTGTTCATATAGCATCCTCCACTTTTGTGAGGGTTGTATATTTATTCCCTATGTCCCTCCCCAAATGCCAACCATTGGCAATATAGAAAACCGATTCTTTTTAGACCATAGGAAGTATATAGGAGGTACGGGAGAATTGTCTGTATTCTGTCAATCAGATTTTAAATAAATGATGATTGACCAGGCAGGAAGTATAGGTGGGAAAACCAGACAGGAAGTAGAGGTGGAACAAAGAGAACAGGAGTATTCTGGGAAGCAGGAAGCTCCCTCCACAGTTCTGCCCAGACCACCAGAAAGACAAGATGTACCGCTGAGAAAGGTATTGAGCCGTGTGGCTAACATAGATAAAAAATAATGGGCTAACATAAGTTATAAGAGCTAATAGGTAGCCTGAGCTAAGGGCCAATCAGTTTATAATCTTATGGAGTCCTTTGTGTGATTTTCTTTGGAGCTTGCCAGCTGTGGGATATCGGGCCGGACAGATACCCCAACAAGCAAGCCCTTCATGTTACAGAACGGTGCCCATGTGGATAACTGAATGCTTGAGAAAGCTTGGGAAAGAATAGAGTAAGGCATGACTTCTTGGTGGCAGCAGTTTCTCAGGTCTTTTCTGCTTACTAGAGGCAAGTAAACATTCTCATTTAAGAGAGGCTTCCTGACTCAGCTTTAGCTGCAAAACCCTGCAGCTCTTTTAAGAGGTCCTGCCATGAAACACTTACATAGTGTTGATGAAAAGCTGAACACATGCTTTTCAGTTTTCAGCCGTAGCAGAAAATAGGCTGTACCATTTTAAAATGCCAACTTTCTAGGCTGTCCTGCCAGGACAAACTCTGACTCTTTGAGGCAGGAGGTCAGCTACAAAGAGAGCATTTGACTGTTACAACTTGCTTGCTGGCAGGGACCTTGAAATACCATAGAGTTGTGGCAATAAAAATGGCTACAGCTGGTACCTCTGCCATGATGCTGGAAAGCTAAGGAATGGGCTTGATCCAGTCGTCAAAGCCACGGCTTTAATCCTCTCCATAAAGATTCATGTGGTCAAAAAGGAGAGAGATATACCATAAAGAGAGATTCAAAGACGAAGAAACCTCTAAATGGTTTACAGTGTGTTAAAAATATAAGAAGGATAAAAGTTAAAGTTCTTAAAGTAAAAAGAAAGAAAGAGAGTAGTTGGGTGTGGTGGTACACACCTTTAATCTCAATGCCTGGGAGACAGAAGTAGATTGACCTCTGTGACTTCAAGGTGTGGTAGCACATGCCTTTAATCCCAATGCCTGGTTGGCAGAGACACACAGGTCTCTGTGAGTTCAAGGTGTAATAGCACACACGTTTAATCCCAGCACTGGGTAGGCAGAGACAGACAGATCTCTGTGAGTTCAAGGGCAGCCTGGTCTACAGAGTTATTCCAGGACAAAGATATATAGAGAACCTGTCTCAAAAAGTAAAAGTAAAAATAAAACAAATAAAAGTTAAAATAAAGCTGCATAAAGATGGAAAATACACAGAGAATCTTGATACTGTATGCTATTATGCTCTCTTTGAATAGTTTGAATGTTGAGGAAGGAGCAACAGCTGTTAAAAGATATTTGTTTATAAATGCTGCTGAATTAATCCAAGATAGGTATTCTGAAAATACCTTGACTTCAAAATTGAAGTCAAAAGGTATGTTACTTTGGAGAAGAGGATTTGCTTTTGTTTCCACAGAAAATGAGAGGCTGTGGATTCATTCTGAGATAAGAAAAATCTAGTTTGATCAAGGAAGACCACCTGAGAAATCTCCGGTAGGAACAGATGGCCTGGATGTCTGAGTTCTACATCCAGATCAGATTCAAGACTGCTGCCTGAGATGATCAAGACTCACAGGACACTCCAGTTGGGGCTTAATCATAATTCTAAATTTTCTTTAGGTCACCATAAGATTATCAGTGCCCCCAAACAGCAGGAAGTAGCCTGGAAAACTATGCCCACATTCACAAAAAAATGGACTATGGCTATTTTCCTTTGTTTAAAAAAAAAAAGAGGGGGAAATGGTATGGAAGAATTGTCTGTATTCTGTCAAGCATATTTTAAATAAATGCTGATTGGCCAGGCAGGAAGTATAGGTGGAAAAATCAGACAGGAAGTAGAGGTGGAACAAAGAGAATGGGAGTATTCTGGGAAGCAGGAAGTTCCCTCCACAGTCCAGCCCAGATCACTGAAGAAGCAACATGTGAGCTGCCCAGCCAGAAAAGGTACTGAGCCATTTGGCTAGCATAGATAAGAATAATGGGTTAATCTAAGTGATAAGAGGTAATAAGAAGCCTGAGCTAATGGGCCAATCAATTTATAATCTTATGGAGACTTCTGTGTGATTTTCTTTGGGGCTTGCTGGCTGTGGGCTACTGGGCGGGACGGAAATCCCCACAGCTGGCCCTCATGTTACATATAGGCACACAATAAGTAATGGATGTGCAGGAAAAAAGAATAAATAAAGCTAAAAATGAACAATATCTGGGATCATGATACAATAATAGAGTACTTGGCTTACACATAGAAGGCCCTGGGTTCTACTCCTAGTACTGCAACAAATCAACAATAACGATGAGACAAAAACAGAGGTATAGAGAGAAAGGGGGAGACAGGAAAGGTCAGTGGTAAAGAACACTTGCTGTTCTTCCAGAGGACTCAAATTCAGTTCTTAGCACCTATATTAAGTGGCTTACAACAACCTATAACCCTAGACCCAGGGCATCCAATAGTCTCTTCTGACCTCCATCAGCACCCCACACATATGTCATATACTAACACATACACACATACACACACACACACACACACACACACACACACACACACACACAATAAATAAGTAAATAAATGTCTTTTTAAAAAAAAGCAAGCCTGGTGGTGGTAGTGCACACCTTTAATCCCACTTGGGAGGCAAAGGAGGGCAGATTTCTGAGTTCAAGGCCAGACTAGTCTGCAAAGGGAGTTTCAGGACAGTTAAGGCTGTTTCACAGAGAAACCCTGTCTCACAAGAACAAAACAAACAAACATACAAACAAAAACAGCAAAAGGAAAGAGTGTCAAACTTGAAGGGAAAATTGTACACAGGGCTCTCTAAGAATCAGACTCCGAAGGGGATCAGAAAATGAGGGGGAATTTTTCTGCTAACTAAAACAGAAATAAGCCTGCATAGTTAAATGCAAGAAGACGGATAACTATAAATGCGGATTCCTCTAGAGACACACTGCAACTTTATTAAGCTGCCTTCTGATGGTCACCTCCAGAGCATGACTGGCCCTCGGCTTTCCTGAGGTTGCTCCACTTGGGAAATCAGGTGCTAAGAAAACATCAGGCGATGACCGCTCTCAGAAGAGTACACCTGAGGGACAGGTGACCTGTTAACACTGTATGCTACAGTTTGGATCTGTAGTGTCCCCAAAAGCACTACATGTGTTAAAGGCCTACTCACCCACATTAATGGGAGATGGCAGAAGCTGTAGAAGGTGGGGCCGAATGGGAAGACGTTAGGTCATTGGGGGTGCACCCTGCAAGGATACTGTTACCCTTGTCCCTATTCTCTAATTCTTCCCAGCTGCTGTTAAAATCAGACTGTGCCCTGCCCAAAGTCACTGACTGCATGCTGTGTAAAGCCATAGTGTTACAGGCTGCACCTTTGCCCTGAAAGATTCCACTTTACAAGCATGATATGACTCCACTTTGCCTGCAAGCGCAGACTCTGCACTTCATTGGCCACATAAACAGTACCATCTCCCTGGCACCACCCACAGTGAACAAACTGATAAATAACCCTAAAATGTTAAAAAAGGCTCTACTCTATAAATTTATAAAGTTAACAGAGGCCATATGATCACGTAACTATATTAAAGTTATCCAAGAAAACTATGAGAAAATTTTGAGAACTTATGAGAAACACCATAGTGGAGAAACACCCTCACCTGGACCCCACAATGAAGAAATCACCTAACAATAAAATGACAATGAACTCTACTGATGTGTCATCTGACCACCCTCAGTGTGTGTCAAGGGACTAACACGCAGGGAACTTGGAACTGCCGTAGGAGCTTCAGCTCAGATCAGTTCCTACTGCTGTTATGACCTACTTAGACCATCATCTAGGCACCCATTTGGACTTAGTCCTACACTTGAGAGACAGACAACGCCCTTCATACCTAAGGGAAGTGAGGACCTGGCTAGATGTGACTGTGGATCAATGACACGGCTCCCTTTGAAGGAAAGTCATGGCATGTGGCTCTCTCTCCTTAGAGGTACACTTGAAAAATCTCTTCTGTTCAAAACTAGTGAGATGCTTTGGGTTATCAGCAGACCTTGGAGTGGTAGATATGCTCTCCATCTTGGAAATTAATGGTGCCAAAGGTATCTGTAGGGCTCTTCACTGTGTGCTTCTCAGCAGACCACTGTTCCTCTCCACTGCCCTCAGCGGCTGAAAGGGTCCAGGTGTAATCCAACCCATGATGTTCTTGAATCAGCCGGCCACAGTAGCACCTAAATTCAGAAAGACAGTCACTCAAAACAGAAAACTGGTGCAATAATCCCAATCCTCAGATTGATGTATAGATGTCATGTATTAATAACTCTTAAAATTGATATTTAGGTCACCAGACTTGGCAGTGAGCACCTGTACCCAGTAAGCCACCTCACCAGTTCCTATGTCTCCTTCTTAACACTGATATACACTCTGTCTGCCATGTCATGAAAGATCATAAAACATATAATGGACTTTATATCTTCCCTCGCTCCTTACTGTTGTTTTGTTTATATTTGGGGTCTTTTTTTTTTAAAGATGGAATCTCACCAGGATGCTCAAGCTAGTCTGGAACACTAAACTCTAGATATAAATGATGCTTCTGCCCCAGCCTCCTAAGTAGTTAGACCACGATAGGGTGCCATCAGATGTGGCTGGATTCTAAATAGGAGTAGCTGTGAGTGAGGGAAACCAAGGCTTTTCTATAACTAAAATTCTACACTATTCTTCATCTGTCTTTTTCCTTCACTTTATAAATCTTTACTAACACAGTAGTATATATTTATGTAATTTGTAAATAAGCACACATATCATAACCCAAAATGTTTAATGATGTAGTATAGAGTAAAACATGTGAAGTTCACTCAATCAAAAGCAGAAATCTTTAGCATGGACCACAAGATATGTATATTCATTTATAAATAATATAACATGCTCATGTCAGTCCACATAGTAAATATTAGTCAAGACAGAAGTGAAATTACAAATGCATCAAACTGTTCATTGTTTTTCTGTTCATAACTTTAAAATACTGTAAATGACTAAATAACCTGAACATTCATCAATAAGGATGCACTATGGGGCTAAACAGATAGCTCCCTTGGTAGAGTGTTTTCCTCAGCCTGAAAGAAGCCCAGGGTTTGATCTCCAGCACCACAAAATCAGGCAAAGAGGTATACACAAGGAATACAGCACTACACAGATAGGGAAGGGAGAATCAGAAGTTGGAGGTCATCCTTAGAAACATGACAAGTTTAAGGATAGCCTGAGCTACATGAGACCTTGTTTAAAATAAACAAAAAAAACCAGTAAGTCAAGTGTAGTGATAACCACCTACAATCTCAGTTACTAGTGCAACTGAGACCAGAGAATTGGAAATTGGAGTCCACCCTAGGCAATTTAAAAGACTCCAAGACCCTGTCTCAAAATTTAAAGCTATAAAAATCAAATAATATAAAAGTTAAAGTTAGCGTTGTTTAAACTCACAGACTTTAGGATATGGTCAGGATTAAGGACTTTGTTTTGCTCCACTGACTAAAAGGAAGGGCAAACCCACTTGCATACACACAAACCCACTTGCACACACACAAACCCACTTGCACATACACCTTAAGATGTGTGTCACTGCTACAACGTGCACTGCAAAGTTCACTTTATTGCACTTTATTGTGAGTGTTTTGCCTGTTTTGTGCAAATATGACATGTGTAACTCATATGTCAAATACCTCACTGCGTATGCAACATAGAGTTACATTTTATCCAAATGCAATAGCAAAATAAAGAGGTACATGTCATACATGTTTTAGGTGATAAAAGCTCTTGTCAAATATCCTAAGATGTTTGCATATCTCAATAACTCAGGACTTCAGGACTTCTATTAGACTCAAGTTCCATGCTCAAGTAAGGAAGAACACACACACACACACACACACACACACACACACACACACCTTTTATACCTCCATTCTTTTCAGAGGAAATAACAGGTGCCTTAATCAGAGTCCACTCAACTTCTGAGAGAAGCCCGACACATCTGGTTACTTCAATCAAAAGAGCTGTTTTTCCTGATCCAGCCCACTACAAGATTGTCCACCTCTCCCTCACTGTTCCTTTTGTGTCCCTCCCAAAACTCCATTCATGATCTGATGAAGAGGACAGCCTTCCTGGATAAAGGGGACTTCCTCAGTCTAAAATTCACAAGGAGTTTAGCTCCCCTGCTAGAACCTCCAAAAGAAAGGAAAGAAAAAAGGTCTGGAGATCTGAAGAAACTCTTCTAAGCATATTGGGAACACCTTAAAATGAAAAGAAGCTGATTTGTCAAAGTCTCACCTGACTAAGTTCTGACAGACTTGGCAGCCTTGAGTGCATCTGAGTTAAAGAAATAAAATCATTGTTAGTTTACCAATATTTGTACTAAGAATTTTCTGCTTATCTAGTAAACATCATTTTCCATTGTCTGAAAATTGGAATTTGCTAAACATGCATTCATCATTTACTTCCCATATCATTTCCTGTGCATAATTATACAGTAGAAACAATGACAAAGTTAATAAACCATGGACTATGAAACCAAACTACCTAGGTTTGAATACCATTGACTCAGTGATTCTTTTAAGTCCCAGCTCTCACACTTAAAAATAATTTCAAACACTTTTTCATCCCCCCATAAGGTGATAAAAAGGATTATCATAAGTAATCTATCTGAAGTAGCTTGTGCCAGCTCCTACATTGCAATATATTGAATAAAGGTAGATTAGTTACCTTTCTCACCACTGTGGCAAGGTATCTGATCAAAGCAACTTGAGGAAGAAAGGGTCAGTGTTGGCTCACAGTTTGAGGGGATACAGTCCATCACGGGTAATTAAGTCATAAAGGTGGGAGTGTGAGGCAGCTGTTCACACTGTGTCAGAAATCGGGCACCAGAGAGGGGAATGCTGGTGCTCAACTTTCCCCCTTTTATTCATTCTGGGAGCAGCTTATGGGAAATCTACCAACCACATTCTGGGTGGGTCTTTTCCTACTCGGTAAAACTTCCCTGGAAACACTCTCATAAACACACCCAGAAGTGTGCCTCATTAATTCAGTAGGGGATTATCAATCCAGTCAAGCAGGTGGTGGAGGTTAAGCATCATGGGTAGGTATTATGACTACTGTTGCTATTACTTGGCTATTGTAATTACTGAACAGTGAAGGTAACACAGAACTCTAGGAAATCAAGTAATAAAATGTATTTTTAAATAGCTCAAAGTTATAAAGCAGGACCAGTGATGTAACTCCCTCAGCTTGCTGAGCACAAAAGAGGCCTTGAATTATTTCCCTAGTCCCTCATAAACTGGGTATAAAGGCACACACCAATAATTTGTAGACTCAGTGGGGGAATGAGGAAGATCAGAAGCTCAAGGTCATTCTCTGTGACATCCTGAGTTCCAGACCATGCTGAGCTACAAGAGACACTGTCTTTTGTACTTGTGTGTGTGTATGTACGTGTGTGTAAAACAGCATCCAATCAAATACTGCCGTTGATCCACCATTAGACATGAGTGTCTAACTAATGCCACTCTGTTCCATAACACGGCTTTGTTGGAGTATTTTTTTATTTGTTTGGTTAGTTTGATTGGTTTTATTGGTTAGTTTGGCTTGGTTTGGTTTGGTTGGTTTGGTTTAGTTGGTTTGGTTACTTTGATAAGGCTGGCTTTTATTTTCTTTGGTTTAGTTGGCTTAGTTTGATTTGGCTTAGTTTGTTTTAGCTGATTTGGATTGATTTTGTCTGGTTCGCTTTGGTTTATTTGTTTGGCACAGTGCTAAGAATGGAATCCAAAGCCTTGCACATGTGAGTGCACATGTTGCCACAGAGTTCTGGACTCAGTTCTCATCACTGCTGTTTGGTAACACATCATGACATCTCAAAGGCAAGTCCTCTATTTTTGTCTTGTTTTAAATACTGTTCTACTTTTCTTGGCTGAGGAGTATGTGAAGTCCAATATTCCATCTCTAGTGTCTAAATAAATAAATAAATAAATAAGATTAAAATTATTTTACCTTTCTAAACACATATAAACCTATATAAATTTTTTTTAAATCTTTTGAAAATGTCATGATTTTTATGAGTATTTTATTTAATTTGTAAAATGATTTGGGACTTACTATGAATATAAGTCTTTTCCTGATTAGTTTTCCTCTTTAATTTTCAGAAAAAACTTCCAGGAATTTGTTAGCAAATGATCTTATTTTAAGTGTAAAATAATTTTTAAAAACTGTAATTAAGCAACAGAAAGACACTGTTTATCAAATGTGATCAGTCTAAACTCTTCAAAACCCAGCATTCTAAGCTTCACTTTTTCTTTGTGTTTTTTTCTTTAAAATAAGAAAGGAAAAGGAAGCTATAATCAAAACTATTAGGTTTGTTTTCTTATTAGGAGCTAAAAAAAGATTTAATGGAAGAAAGAAATTTTTATTGGTATTAAATAGTGAAATACTAGTTTTACAGTTTTAATCTGGTCCCCCTCAACCCAGGTTAATGCTTTGAATGTTTGATTTTCACCCCCACCGTATGTGGTGCTGTTTATAGGTGCATAACCTTTGAGAGGTGGAGCCTGACTGGCAGAAATGTTCCACTTAATGGAAAGCCTTTGAGGGTAATAACTCACCACTCATTTCAACCACCGCTTCTGTTTTCTAGTCTGAACAATGTAAACAATATCTAGCCACATACAATAGTCAGTGCCTACCCTACATGCGGTACTGAGACCTTCTGGAGTTAAAGTCAAAACAAGTCCTTCTTCCCTAACTGCTTCCGTTGACTATTTTGTCACACGGGAGAAGTAACAAGTACACTACTAGCTTCCTACCCATTGTAATGACAAAAAACACATCGAAACTATTTTTCCTGAGAATCTTACTAGAACCCAAGAAAATCGACCTATAAGAGGAATTTCCATGGTCGTCTATTGCATTTTTTGCAATCACACAAACATAGAGACAGATTTTTTCCCCCATAAACAGTAGGAAGTCTTGAATGTTTCATAAAATTATGTTCAACAGAGCCAGGCACAGTGGCACATGTCTGTAGTTGTAGTACCCAGGAAGGAGGCAGGAGAATGATGAGTTTAAGGCCAGTCCAGGCAGCATACTGATACCCTATCTTAAAATAAATATATACCCAGTGGTTTTCTTTTTCTCTAATGCTGGGGATGGACAGCAGGGCCCAATGCACACTAAATGCATGCTCCAACACTGAATTCTGTCCCAGATCATTCTCCTTGCATCTTAGGGATAACCACAGTTGGTACTCTGTCGCTTTTCCTGAGGTCCAAGATAGTTATGAAGATGATTTTCCATTCAAAGAAGTGAAATGAGTATCAGGTCGCATGAAACCATAAAAGATGAATGGGGAAAAAAACTGTGTTACCTTAGCATCCGATAAATACTTTGTACACAGGTAAAATGAGAATTTCCAATCACAGGGCTTACCAAGCATAGGTAATTCAGGGAGGGTGGGACTAGTCAATGTTTAACCAAGACAAAGAGCAACACGTCAGTCCTCGCCCAGACCTTACCACACTTTCCTTCATAAGCATGCACTCATGACTTCTAAACTTTAAACGGATGTAAGGCCAATGGCTCAAGGGAATCTAAAATAGACTGGCTACCCTAATGAAAATATTTCTTTTTTATTCCCCTATCGGTTTTCCATCAGGGCAATGACATCCGGTCGTAAGTTCACAGACCTGATTAGCCTGAGGAATTTTCCGAAGACCTTTCTTCCCATTTCGTACCAGCTGCCTTGCTGGACTTTGTTCTCCAAGTAGTTTCCATAGGGTTGTCCAGAACGTGGAGTTCTCTAACTCGACCCTGCTGCCTAGAATCTGCCTAAACACAAAGCCTCAGAAGGAAACCACAACTCAGCCTCCTGACCCCTTTGGATCTCTGCAATGTCCCTGATGTGTCCTCCACAGTCGTCATGTAGTTGGGATACTTTAGGTGGAATGAAGAATAGCCACAACATTTGGAGTATTCACTATGGAGATAGTAAAAATTATTTGCCCTAACTTGGTGGGTTATAGCCTTACATCCCTATGACGTCTGTCCTGCCTCCAAGGGGAACTGCAGTGGTACATGGACCAGAATCCACCACAGTGCGACGAGTAAGTGCTATTATTATACGTATTTTTTTCCTCTTTGAGTTGACTACTTCTTTAGATGGACATTTAACAGGACCATATCGGTGACAGGCACTGGGGCTGTCACACGTAGCTGACAGTTCCTTCTCCTAGTAGATTTTCTTCAATCTTCAAAATGGGCTTTTATGGAGTACAGGAACAAACAGATCGAAATGAGTAAATACCCTTACTCCATAGCTATTATTAAACACCCTACATAAGTGATATTTCTAAGTTTCTTCAACTAGCACTTGAAGTCGTACCACTTTTAAGAAGGGAGAATGAAATTTAAAACTGTACCTGTGAGGGTCTTTTGTGCTGGGTATGAATTTGTTACACTCTCTCTTGTAGAATACCCCTTCAATCCAAGATTTCTGAAACAGAGAAAAATGTTATTTTGTGATCTGTTTTAATGAAAGGTGGGTGTGGTATAACTGTGGTAATTCGGGTAGGCAATATATATGTAATTATCATGATATTCATTAAAATACCATGACCAGGGGCTGGAGACACAGTTCTTTCAGTAAAGTATTTGCTGCACAAGCATGAAGCCCTGAGTTCAGCTCCCTAACACTCAGCATAAAAGCCAGATGTGGTAGCGTGTACCTGTAACTGTGCTCTGGGAAAGCAGAGAAAAGAAGATGCCCGGGTTCTACCAGAAAACTGATCTAGCTGACTCAGCAATAGAGGAAGACACCCAATGTCAACCACTGGCCTCTCATGCACAACCACACACGCATGCATTAATACATAGACCAAATCAAAACAGGTTCAGTACTCAGTAGCTTCTACAGCCTAATGTTCATACAAAATACAAAACCACCTGATGCAGGATTTCATCTTGAGTAACAAGGTCTTAGTAAAGCTGTAACTGATACATTCCCTTAGACCTGCTAAGACTTACTTCCAGGTCTTGTGCCATAATCCCAACAACACAAGACTATTGTGTTCTCCATTCTTTTTAAAAAGAAGAACAAATACTATGATTTACTGTGGACATAATGGGGAAGAAAAGATGCACATATGCGCTGGTTTTCTCTAAGGAGATCACAGGGGTATGTAAAATGAATCATTCCATCAGAAAAGCCAAGGCTAATAATATTAGGAGATTGGAGACTGAAGCACAATCTAATACAAATTTAGACAGAACTCCTTCCTGATTGACCTCAATTCAACTTCAATGAGTTTTTTCTTAAATATCTATTAAAATAATAGAGACATAATTTTCAACATAAGGCAAACGGAAATCTTGCTCTATTGTCATAGATATTCAGGTATAAGACAATGGTTTTGCTTTCACAAACACTGATAGCACAAAAGCCAAAGACATTAGAACAAAACTGAAGAAAATAGAGATATTTTGGTTGAAAGAATAAAAATATTCACTAGAATATTAATTCTGAACCCCAAGTATTTTCAAATATAGATCCATCTCATTGAAAATTGTGCACTCTTCATAATGATTGATTGGGTATAACTAGGTGATTGTGAATTGAAGTCACAAGGACTGAAAAGGCCTTATCGCTCTTTAAATCCCAGCATGCCTAGGATGTCAAAACACTGGAAAGCATGTCAAAGAACAGCTCCCATCTTGACAGTTTCTTGAGATAGCCTGTGAGCACAGCTTACCATTGGCAACTTCACTTCATGACACAAAACCTCCATGGGGACCTGAGGCTCACTCTTTCTTCTAGCAAAGGGTCTTCCATTCTACAAAATCCAAGTCATAGCCAACTGCATTAGAATGCATTCCAGCTGCATTTGAAGTCTGGAAACACAAGACAGGGAGCCACCATCGTGCCCAACTAACCAACAAGCTTGGCTTTGTTATAATATAAAACTGCTTTTTGATTTATTTTGATTTATTCATTTTAGGTGCTATTTTCTATGTCTAAACATACTTTGCCTGCACATGTATATATGCACCACATGTATGCTTAGCTACTCCACAAAGCCAAAAGATGGCATCAGATCCCCTAGAGCTGGAGTTATGAGCCACCATGTGGTTTCTGGGAATCAAACCCAAATGCCCTGAAAGATCACTAAGGGCTCTTACCACTGAGCCCTCTCTCTGGACCCCATGTGAAAATATTTTGATACCAAATAGCCTAAGATTAGAGGTATGGATATAACTTTAGAAATCCATACCAAGTATAATGGAATGCGAGGGAAGTAACTATATTCTAAATGCACAAACTCTAAATCCACGGGTCTACTACTGAATACAGCACAATATAACGGACGGAGTCCAGATCTGAGTCAGATGGGAGAGGGGGCGGTTGGACCTTAGTCCTTCTGTCCCTTTTGCACAGTCTGCCACAATTTGTGTCAATTAAAAACATTCAATGAACTGTAAAAATATAAATCCAGAAAAATCAAAAATGACAGAATTTAAAATTAACAAAATAGACAGGAGCTCATGATGTGTTTATTATATGAAGAAATGACACAAACACTAAGAAGCATTAAACTCTATCCCTAGTAAAAACATTGACAATTTTACCCAACTACTCTACAGACATATTAAATAGCTGATTTTTGCCAAGTGACAGCAAAAGTGCTACAAAGGCACGAATATGTCCTCAAAGAATTTTTTACTCTGAATTTCCAAATATTTGAATCTATTAAATAATTCAAAACTCCCTTGGACAGACCTCCGTGCTTACATACTGGGAAATCTGTAATAAATACAAGGTTCCTAATGTCAAGAAAAGTAAAAACGAAGGGAGGAAGAGATAAAAACTGACATAACACATCGTATGAACAATGGGCTATAAAAAAAAGAATTGTCAATCAGATACAATAATATCCAATTATTGCTTCAGCTCCTTCAGAAGCTGAGCTAGGAGGATCCCAGGAATTTGAGCCCAGAATGGCAACACAGCAAGATGCTATCTCCAAATACAAGTATATAAATAAATAAACAAAACAAACAACTGACTGCAAAGAAGGGCCCTAGTATACTGTGTGCATTTATACACACACACACACACACACACACACACACACACAGCAAGTTGAACTCAGTCTATTTCTTTTTTTAAATATGCATTGTTTATGCATATGATTGCTTTGTCTGTGCGTATGTAAATGCACTATATATGTGTCTGGTGCCTCCAGAGGTCAGAAGAGGGCACAAGATTCCCTGGAACTAGAATTTTGACAGTTGTGAGTCACCATGTGGGTGCTGGGAATCAAACCCAGGTTCTCCGAGAGCAGCCAGTGCTCTGAACTGCTGAGCCGCCTATCCAGCCACTCGGCCTATTCTTTTCAAAGACTAGATAACAAACTCTCTGATCAGACTCAATTTCTTCATTATCTGTTTGCTCATTTTCAAAAATGAAAATGCTTGCCAAGACTAGCTCATCCAGGCATGTAGCTCAGTGGTAGCGCATGCGCTTAGCATGTACAGCCCAGGATACAATCCTGGCACAAAAACAATAGTTATAATAACACTCCTCCGCAGAGATATTGGAAAGATCTGTTCATTTAAAGTTTAGATTTCTTCCAAGGACTTATTATGTCTCTATAAAGCTTAGCTATCATTATTAGCTATACCAAAGAGTAAAATTAGTATTTGGTTATTGTATCTATGCCACAGAACAAAGTGAGAACCTCCAAATCTCCCTCATAGGACTCCTCATAATATGATGTAATGGCCTTACACCTCCACTTTCTCCTTAAAGTCCAGGTGATGCAGACCCAGCATTAGTTGTGTATGTTGTCCTAGGCCCCCACCCAAGGATTATTGAATGAACAAAATGAATACCTTCAAAATAGACCTGCGGGTAACATTGCATACAATTTTCCTTTCAAGGGTATAAACAAGAAGCCTGTGACCTAACAGAAACAGAGATTTTTTTCTTGCAGTCACTGTGTTTTAGCTCAAAACTATAGCAAAAGTTTCCAATTCCAGCACTCGGGAGGATGAGGCAGAAAGTTCAAAGCCAGCCTGGGCCACATAGTGAGGATGAGATGCTGTAGCTGCCTCCATAGGTCAGCACTTTTTCCTTGTCAATTTGGCCTTGGAGGAGGAAAAGGCAGAGAAGAACCAGGGCTGGCCTCAACTTCCTTCACCCTAAACTAAAATTACCTTTCACATCCAATCTTAGACCTGAGGTAAACCTGGGAAAGACAAAGAAACAGTCAGAGACAGGCCTTGAATAGTCACTATCTATGAATAGTCCCAGCTCACACTACTGGTTTTTCCACAAGGCTGGTGATTGAACCCACACCTCACACATGCTGAACATGGACTCTACCCTCAAGCCACATTCCCAGGCCCTAGGGCTTTGAAATACTTTCCGAACACAAATTCTTTCGGTGGAATCTCTGAAAAGACAGATTCTTGGAAGCGTCTCTTCATTTTAAACACCTATCATTCATTTTAACATCTGAGGGGCTAAGGAAACAAAGGAACAGATCACTTATTTTCATCCCCAAACTTTTTCACTTCTTCAAAGAGCGCACACAAACTTCCCCACCAGAGATGACTTGCTCCAGTTTTGATGGCACCTGTTCTACATTACACAGAGCATGGCACTGACACAGTCTAGCTGGATACATTCTGCTACCTGTATTTACCAACTTTAGATGAGGATATCATGCACTTAAAGACTCACGTCAGCAGTGGTGGGTTTGCCTAGCATGCACTTAAAGACTCACGTCAGCAGTGGTGGGTTTGCCAAGCGTGTACAAGACCTGGATTCCAAATCCAGCACCTCTAAAAGAGAAAAGATGGAGCTAGAGACAGAGACCCACATTGGAGCACTGGACTGAGCTCCCAAAGTCCAAATAAGGAGCAGAAGGCGGGAGAACATGAGCAAGGAAGTCAGGACAGCGAGAGGTGTGTCTACCCACTGAGACGGTGGGACTGATCTAATGGGAGCTCACCAAGGCCAGAGGGACTGGGACTGACGGAGCATGTGATCAAAATGGACACTCTGAACGTGGTTGTCAATGAAGGCTGACTGAGAAGCCAAGAACAATGGCACTGGGTTTTGATTCTACTGCATGGACTGTGAGAGCCTGGTTTGTTTGGACTGTGAGACCTGGACTGCATGGACTGTGAGACCTGGATGGAGGAGGGAGGACCTTGGACTTCCCATGGGGCACGGAACCCTGACTGCTCTTAGGACTGGAGAGGGAGGGGGAGGGGAGAGGGGGAGGAAAAAGGAAGGTGGGGAGGAAGTGGAAATTTTTAATAAACAAATAAATTGTAAAAAAAAATTATTGTCTGGTCTATGAGTGCATCAGCAGATAAAGCACTTGCCTTGGAACAGTGAGGTCTGAAGTTCAAATCTCCAGCTCTCACGTGAAAACCTGATATATGTGGTGACTCACCTATAGTACTAACATACTGGAGGCAGAGATA